TTCGCTCTGTGGAAGAGGAAAAACCGGATCAGTTAAGAACCGCTCGTTATATATTTTGTCGCCAAGAGAGGGGGGGAGGTGGGTTCCAGGATCTTTAATGGTCTTATTGCCCTCCATCCTCCCCTTATTGACGGTCAGTTTTCTTCCTTTCTCCCCTTAGACAAGATCTGAATAAAACGTAAGTAGTAAACTGGTGTATGTGCACCCAAATTACCAGAAACGTCTTAACCCGTAAACTCCCAAATTCTCATTAGTAATTCTCCTTACTGTCTGCCACATAGTTTTTGTGATGTTAGTTTGGAGAATTTGCTGTTGGATCAACTAATAATCCCCTAATAAGTATTTTTCCGAACTAGCCAACGAGCGCGCGTGAAAATCACTATTCACTTGAGTGGTATATACTAAGATCAAGTACTGCTATCGGATAGTCAATATAGGTAAATGCATGAGAAAAAAAACCATAAGAGTACAATCATTGCTCTTAAAACTTCAAAAGGAAATACTTCAAACTCTGGCTTCAATAGTATTATGATGGTTAAGGACCGGTGCCCGATAATCAGGCGCTGTGAAACCTGTACCAAATTTATCACAACAGCCGACTGACAACCAGGGAAACAAAGGAATTATGGGCGTAAAATTATCGTCACAGTCAAATAGGTTTCTTTCATCTACCTCTAAAATTGAAGCTCACCCATAGGCTTCATTTTTAAAATCATTTGATGAAAATCTTTCGGAAATAAGGAACCAGTTAGTGTCGTGTTTTTTAAAAGATCATTGTAATTGGTTGTTATCTCATTGTTCTGCGAAAGCGTGTGATATTTTTTTCCAATACGACAAACCCAGAGAGGGGAAAGGAGAAGGAAAACTATTTTGGGTGTTAGCGATCATTTTTTTAGACTACACAGAAGGTTAAGTAGGATTCTCAGTCTGGATGCGATTTAATCTGACTCAAGCGGCTTTTTTCATTTTATCTACTTTGTAGCTTATATTCTTATAGACCTTTCGACCAGTTTTAAAAAACTCGAATATTCTAATGACGGTACTTTTAGGGCGACTAATTCATCAGTTGAATTACTGTTGTGTGTTACCCTCCTTAAATAAATTTGTTATTATTACGATTATTCTATAGCACACATACCTACGATGATACAAACCAAACAGAAAACAAGGCAAAGAACAGCAACCAGCTTCATTGTGAGTTCTGTCTTCTCGCTGAAAGCAGTTTCTTCTTCTCGACCTCTCTGCGAACTTGTTTATGCTAGTTCAATGATAAATCCGATAAAGTTATATTCGCATATCATATGAATCATTCATCGAATTACATGTCTATGAGGTAATGCATTTTTAGCTATGAGGGCTCCTTGAGTCCTCAGGCTATTTTCAACCCATTGTTTTTTGATAGTGCACGGTAGGATATTGCTTGTGGGTTCCAATGGGGTGATGGTACCGATATGGTGCTTTTACAGGTAACGATTTGGCCATTTTACGACTTCTAGGTTATTCCCGTTTCGATTAAAGAAAAATTTTTTGACTATTTTTACGACAAAGTAACGGTTTCATTTTTTTTTTGGCCCTTTTACGGTTAACAGTGAACCCCTTTACACCCTAACATTAGTATGCATATTCTCCGTACTGTTCTCTATAGATTTCATAAGGGGCTGACAAGGAGAATTTGTTTAACAATCAAGAGCTCTACGTGACCATTTCCTCTTTTCTCATGATCATGATCTCAAATGAATGCTATGAGCGTTCCTCTCGACTTCCCGTCGAAAAAAAAATTGTTCTTTATTTTTTGCCCATGAAAAGGGTTTAGGACTCGTGCTTAAAAAAATCGTTTAGGTGTTCTCAAATTCTTTTTGCTGCGTCGCCACAAGCCTAAAATCATTCTTGGCTGAACCACCCGTGTGGACAGCGATCGAAAGTGTAAGGAGTCGATTCACATTAACTCAAAACAATAACTTTCTATAACAAGTCTTGGTTTCCAAACCACTTGTGTTCTTTTCTATCTAAAAATTTCCAAGTCGCTCACTATATATTTCCCTTTGGTTTATGTTAAACTAACTGTATGTTTATCTCATTTTTTTTCATTCAAATTTCGGGCTATTGATATTTCTATTCTTTTTTTTTCTTGTTACTTCAATATGTCATGACGGTTGTTTACGTCGTGACGCCGTCCCACAAGACAACACAATGAATAGGCGAAGACTGAGTCTCGATGAAGTTTACCATAAGCCGTAAAGGGCCAAAAATTTTGGCCGTTGGACGTAATAACTGGCAAATTCAAACCATTTGTCGTAAAAATAGTCAGCCTGCTCAAATTCCCAGAATAACAAATGGACGTAACAAATCACAACGGTAATTGTAATTGGAATATAGAGCGACTATTTATCTGTCCAGAAATAAAACTGAGAAGAAAATGAAGTAATAAATTTACACAGACAACAGGAAAGCGAGATTAAGACTTGCCGTGTCGTATTTAGTACACCTCATTGCTTGCTTCATGTCAGAGGCAGTAAACGGGTCATCAAGTAAGTAAGTCACGGTGTTAAAAAATGTTGCTAATATCTCTTTCCTAAAATAGAACGTTTCCATCAAGTTTTATTTTCGCACTGTTTGAGATTTTGGACTAGAGATTGGGGTGAGGAAGCCAAAATTTGATCCAATTGTACATGTCCGACATTTGATCGCTGTGTTCTGTCAATGACAATTGAAACTTCATGTTTTCTAAGACACTTAAATTATATACGTCTTTAAACAATTTAGCGTTTTATTCCTTTGATTTACAGTACTCGTCACGTAAAATTGTATACCCAGGCCGATCCCCGCTCCTACTCTTAGGTACATATTGAAGGCGACTTCTCCTTCTCTTCCCAATAACAGCCATACATTTCTTCCCAGCTGCGCAATCTTTCAAGGCCTTTTCGTTATCGTTGCATTCTAAAAGGGTAGAAAAAAAAAAACCAACAACAAGGCATGCAGTTTAAATGGGATGGTTAAGATCGCGGATGAAAATACAGGAACTATTGTATATATCTCGGCAGTCCATTAATCCTTGCCACCCTAACATTAGTATCCATATTTGTTTCTGAATACATGTGACCGCAAACATCCAGGGTCACGTAACCATACTCCAGCGGTCATGTTTGCCGTTTGCCGTCCACGTTTTATTTTCGGGCGAGGCAGTTGAATTACTGTTGTGTATTACCCTCCTTAAATATATTTGCTATTTGTTATGCTAGTTCAATGATAAATCTGATAAAGTTATATTCGTAGATCATATCAATCATTAATCGAGTTACATGTCTACGAGGTAATGCATTTTTACCTATGAAGGCCCCTTGAGTCCTCAGGCTATTTTCAACACATTGTTTTTATGATATTTTCCGATAAGGTAATGGCCTGAGGGATACTTTCACGGGTAACGATTAAAATTTGGCCATTTTACGACTTCCAGGTAATTTTCTTCCCGTTTCGATTAAAGAAAGAATTTTAAGGCTGACTATTTTTACGACAAAGTTTACGCCTAACGGCTAAATTGTTTTGGCCCTTTTATGGTTAACGGTTAACCCCGTTTACACCCTAACATTAGTTTGCATATTCTCCATATTGTTCTTTATACATTTCCTAGGGAGCTGTCGAGGAGAATTTCTTTAACAATCAACAGCTCTACCCTATCATTTCCTCTTTTCTCATGATCATGATCTCAAATGAATGCTATGAGCGCTCCTCTCGACTTCCCGTCGAAAAAAATTGCTCTTTTATTTTTTGCCCATGAAAAGGGTTTAGGGCACGTGCTTATAAAAATCGTTTAGGTGTTCTCAAATTCTTTTTTCTACGTCGCCACAAGCCAAACATCATTTTTGGCTGGACCACCCGTGTGGGCAGCGATCGAAAGTGTAATACATTAATTTATAAAATAATTCAAATAGTACGTGCGCTCTGATTGGCCATAAAAGCATCTTACATGAGCGTATGTAAACGCGGTATTCGTTCCCCTTTCATTAGTTATTTTATAAAAGAAATGTAAAATGGTTTCCATGTTTACATAGCCTGAAGTAAAAACTTGGGAGGTTGGGAGAAGCGATTACTACGCTTATCTCGTGTTCTCCCAATCTTCTGCATGTTTACATCAGGCTATGTAAACACGGAAACCATTTTACATTTCTTCATTAAAATAATAACTTTCTATAACAAGTCTTGTTTTACAAAGCAATAACATTTGTGTTCTTTTCTATCTAAAAATTTCCAAGTCGGTCACTATTTGTTTCCCTTTGGTTTATGTTAAACTAACTGTTTGCTTATCTTATTTTTTTCATTCAAATTCCGGGCTATTGATATTTCCATATTTTTTTCTTGTTACTTCAATATGCCATGATGGTTGCTTACGACGTGACGCCGTCCCACAAAACAACACAATGAATAGGCGAGGACTTAGTCTCGATGAGGTTTACCATAAGCCGTAAAAGTGCCAAACATTTTAGCCCTTGGACGTAATTATTGGCAAATTCAAACCATTTGTAGTAAAAATAGTCAGCCTGCTCAAATTCCCAGAATAACATATGGATATAACAAATCATAACGGCAATTGTAATTGGAATATAGAGTGACTATTTATCTGTCCAGAAAGAAAACTGAAAAGAAAGTGAAGTAATAAATTTACACAGACAACAGGAAAGCGACATTAGGACTTGCCGTGTCGTATTTAGTACACCTCATTGCTTGCTTCATGTCAGAGGCAGTAAACGGGTCATCAAGTAAGTAAGTCACGGTGTTAAAAAACGTTGCTAATATCTCTTTCCTAAAATAAATATCTAGAACGTTTCCATCAAGTTTTATTTTCGCACTGTTTGAGATTTTGGGCTGGAGATTGGGCCGAGGAAGCCAAATTTGATCCAATTGCGCATCTCCGACATTTGACTGCTGTGTTGCATCAATGACAATTGAAACTTCATGATTTCTAAAACACTTTAATTATTTACGTCTTTAAACAATTGAGCGTTTTATTCCTTTGATTTACGGGACTCGTCGCGTGGAATTGTATACCCAGGCTGATCGCCGCTCTTCCCCTCAGTTACACATACAAGGCGACTTCTTCTTCTCTTCCCAATAACAGCCATACATTTCTTCCCAGCTGGGCAATTTTTCAAGGCCTTTTCTCTATCGTTGCATTCTAAAAGGATAGAAAAAAAACCAACAACAAGGCATGCAGTTTAAATGTGATGGTTACGATCGCGGATGAAAATACAGGAACGATTGCATATATCTCGGCAGTCTATTAACCCTTGACACCCGAACATTAGTATCTATGTTTGTTTCTGAATACGTGTGACCGCAAACGTCTAGGGTCACGTGATCAGACTCCAACGGTCATGTTTGCCGTTTGCCGTCCACGTTTTATTTTCGGGCTAGGCAGTTTCAGGTACTTGAGCTCACACGGTTTTTGTCTTCCTGTTCGATAGTGCTCACGTATGGCCTATAAGAATATATGTGAGGTGAAGTCTTTTCTTCATAACCAGGAGCCCATTATCCGGAGTTTCAATCTTCCATACTTACCCTCTGAGTCAACCCTGTCCCGTATCTTTTTATTTTGAGAGGCGCCTTCCACGGGGTTTTTCGCGGGTGTTTACATAATAGCCAATCATAAGAGAGCCGTGGTCCTCTATTGTTTATGACACATGCAGGCCACACGATAGTCCTTTAATAATGGCGAAGAGGGCGGAAAATTTCCATTTTTTTTTTCTTTTCAATGGTGTTGTGCGAACGTCAGCGTGGTTTTGCGGGAAATTAAAGAGCCCTCCACGTATCTTAGTTCTAAAAATAAAAAGATACGGGACAGGATTGACTCAAGGGTACAACTGGTATGGATGCTCCGAGTAATGGGCTCCTGTTACAACCAACCCGTTTGGAACGCTAGGAACCAATCTTTCAGCCATAGTTTGTGTTTGATATGAAGGACCTCCATTTTCCGTGTAATTCAAGATGGCAGCGAACATGTTGACTTTTTCAGTCGAAAGCCGACGTCGATCTAAAAAGCTGAAAGTCTCAAAACTTCTATTTTCTAACCACAATTTTTAACAGGTTTTACGTTTGCGATAATCACACCAAACGTGGATCTAAAACTCTCTAAAAGTAGCGTTCATGATACCTCGTAAAGGTGCATCGCTGGAACTCTCTTCACCTAGATGAAAAAAAAAAAAACCAGTGAATGGTAAATTTAAAAAATTATATATATATATATATATATAACCATTGACGTCATTTTGAGAGCGAGCTGTCTCCTTTCGCTCTCAAAATTGTAAGGAGAAGTTTTGTCTTGGTCACTCATGGTAGTTAAAGGGTTAAAAGGTCTTCAGACATTCCACAATGATTACCAGAGGTTTGAGGAGAAAGCTTTTCCATGCGGAAAACGTGCGAAAAGAAAACGTTTTATTTACGAACTTGCAAGAAACGCACGCTCGTGCGTAGGTGCTGAAGGCTTTTCAACTTTTTTCCGTACTCTCGCGATTTCGATTATTGCAAATGGCATACAACTTTTTAAAAAAACCTGGAATTTGGTATGGAACTACGTTTAAGGTGTTTATAATGTCGCGTAAGTTTTGCCGTACGTAAAACGTGCGTGAAAGGATAACAGTTAAGTAAATAGTTCTGGGCAGTATTAGAGGAGATACTTGGAACGAAATGGGAGAGGATGAATCAAAATATTGTACAATTATTCACCGAAGTGGAGGTGAATAGTACTTGCAGTTCGCTTCCGAACTAGCCAATTAGCGCGCGTGAAAATCACTATTCACTATAGTGGTGTATACTAAGATCAAGTACTGCTATCGGATAGTCAATACAGGTAAATGCATAAGAAAAAAAACCATAAAAGTACAATTATTGCTCTTAAAACTTCAAAAGGAAATATTTCAAACTCTGGCTTCAATAGTATTATGATGGTTAAGGACCGGTGCCCGACAATCAGGCGCTGTGAAACCTGTACCAAAGTTATCACAACAGCCGACTGACAACCAAGGTAACAAAGGAATTATGGGCGTAAAATTATCGTCACAGTCAAATAGGAAATAGTAAATGCACGTTTGAGTCACCTTGCGGTTGGTTTCTTTCATTTACTTATAAAATAGAAGCTCACCCATAGGCTTCATTTTTAAAATCATTTGATGAAAATCTTTAGGAAATAAGGAACCAGTTAGTGTCGTGTTTTTTAAAAGATCATTGTAATTGGTTGTTATCTCATTGTTCTGCGAAAGCGTGTGATATTTTTTTCCAATACGACAAACCCAGAGAGGGGAAAGGAGAAGGAAAACTATTTTGGGTGTTAGCGATCATTTTTTTAGACTACACAAAAGGTTAAGTGGGATTCTCAGTCTGGATGCGATTTAACCTGACTCAAGCGGCTTTTTTCATTTTATTTAGTTTGTAGCTTATATTCATATAGACCTTTGGACCAGTTTTATAAAACTCGAATAATCTAATGACGGTACTTTTAGGATCGAGGGCGACTAATTCATCAGTTGAATTACTGTTGTGTGTTACCCTCCTTAAATAAATTTGTTATTATTACGATTATTCTATAGCACACATACCTACGATGATACAAACCAAACAGAAAACAAGGCAAAGAACAGCAACGAGCTTCATTGTGAGTTCTGTCTTCTCGCTGAAAGCAGTTTCTTCTTCTCGACCTCTCTGCGAACTTGTTTATGCTAGTTCAATGATAAATCCGATAAAGTTATATTCGCATATCATATGAATCATTCATCGAATTACATGTCTATGAGGTAATGCATTTTTACCTATGAAGGCTCCTTGAGTCCTCAGGCTATTTTCAACCCATTGTTTTTTGATAGTGCACGGTAGGATATTGCTTGTGGGTTCCAATGGGGTGATGGCACCGATATGGTGCTTTTACATGTAACGATTAAAATTTGGCCATTTTACGACTTCTAGGTTATTTTCTTCCCGTTTCGATTAAAGAAATAATTTTTAAGGCTGACTATTTTTACGACAAAGTTTACGCCTAACGGCTTAATTTTTTTGGCCCTTTTACGGTTAACGGTGAACCCCCTTTACACCCTAATATTAGTATGCATATTCTCCATACTGTTCTCTATAGATTTCATAAGGGGCTGACAAGGAGAATTTGTTGAACAATCAAGAGCTCTACGTGACCATTTCCTCTTTTCTCGTGATCATGATCTCAAATGAATGCTTTAAGTGCTCCTCTCGACTTCCCGTCGAAAAAAATTTTTCTTTTATTTTTTGCCCATGTAAAGGTTTTAGGACACGTGCTTAAAAAAATCGTTCAGGTGTTCTCAAATTCTTTTTTCTGCGTCGCCACAAGCCAAACATCATTCTTGGCTGAACCACCAGTGTGGACAGCGATCGAAAGTGTAACGAGTCAATTCACATTAACTCAAAACAATAACTTTCTATAACAAGTCTTGGTTTCCAAACCACTTGTGTTCTATTCTATCTAAAAATTTCCAAGTCGGTCACTATATATTTCCCTTTGGTTTATGTTAAACTAACTGTATGCTTATCTTTTTTTTTTCATTCAAATTTCGGGCTATTGATACTTCTATATTTTTTTTCTTGTTACTTCAATATGTCATGACGTTTGTTTACGACGCGACGCCGTCCCACAAGACTACACAATAAACAGGCGAAGAATTAGTCTCAATGAGATTTACCGTTGGCCGTAGAAGGGCCAAAAAATTAGGCCGTTAGACGTAAACGTTGACAAGTTTAAACCGTTTGTCGTAAAAATAGTCAGCCTTAAAATTCTTTCTTTAATGGAAACGAGAAGAAATAACTAATTAGTCATAAAATAGCCAAATTATAATTGTAAGCCGTAAAAGCAATCACCCCATCGAGACCACAGGCAACATCCTACCGTGCGCTATCAAAAAATAATGAGTTAAAAATAGCTTGACAACCTAACGGGTCTTCATGGGTCAAAATGTCCCACCTCATGGACATGTTTTCGATTAATGATCCATATGATATGAGAATATCAATTCATTTGATTTGATATTGAACAAACATAAACAGTCTTTATTTCTCTTTTCGCAGAGAGGTAGAGAAGAAGATACTGCTGTCAGCGTCAAGACAGAACTCACAATCAAGCTTGTTTTTATTTTTTTGCCTTGTTTTCTGTTTGGTCTGTATCATTGATGGAAAAAACGCAGGTAGGTGTACTTTAGAATCCTATTACACCTTCTGTGTAGTTTAAAATATGATCGCTAACACCCAAAATAGTTTTCTTTTCCTTCGTATAAAAAGGCATACACCTTCACAGAACAATAAGATAATAACCCATTTCGATGATTTAAAAAAAAAAAACATGACACTGACTGGTCCCTTATTTCCGAAAGATTTTTATCACATGATTTCAAAAGTGAACCCTATAGGTGAGCTACAATTTCAGAAATAAATTATAGAAACCAACCTCGACGTGAGTCAAAGGTGCATTTCCTACTATTTATTATATTTGACTGTGATGATAATTTTTATGCCCATAATTCCTTTGTTTTCCTGGTTGTCAGTCGGCTGTTGTGAAAACTTTGCTTTAGGATTTATATACAGCGCCTGATCGTCCGACACCGGTTCCTAACCATTACAAAACTATTGAACCCAAAGTTTGAAATATCCTTTTTTAAAGTTATAGGAGCAATAATTGTACTTCTTTTTTTTTTTTTTTTTTTTTTTTTTTTTTCTCATGCATTTACCAATATTGACTATCCGATAGCAGTACCGGATGTTAGTATATACCACTCAGGTGAAGAGTGCTTTTCACGCGCGCTGATTGGCTAGTTCGGAAACGAATTGCAAATACTATTCACCTCCACGTCGGTGAATAATTGTAAAATATTTTGATTTATCGTTTCCCATCCAAGCATATCCTCTAATACTGCCCAGACCTATTCAGTTAACTCTTATCCTTTTACGCACGTTTTACGTACAGCAAAAGTTATGCGACAATTAACAATTGGTTCACACGTCAGCGTGCGTTCATCGAGACATGAAGCACGCGGGAAGTTTGGAGAGCACGAAAGATGCGTAATACCCTAGCTTCTTTTTGCTGGAAAATACACTTTATATTCCGTAAATTGTTGCCCGTTCACAAACGTATGGGTGGGTTTCCATTTACTAAAAGATTGAGTGTAGCAAGGTTGTATAGGATTTGTGGAGACCATCTGTTGAGCAGGCACTGCTCGAGTCTGTACATTATCCAGGATTTAAAGGCTTCGTAAGATCTGTTGTTGGTGCTGTGTGAATAGTCATTTCCTATTAACAGAAAAATGAGTAACATATGGGTCATTTATCTCTACGGGTTTATTGCCGTGGAGCTTTTCTATGCTCCAAAGTGATTTTATTGTTTTATCATATTGTTAATTGTTTAACAGGTAAGTTGTTATTTCGCTAACGCTAAAGTACATTCGAAGAATGGAACAGGAAGCATAGCAGGAATAGTAAAAAGGAATAGAACAGGAATAATAAAACTCAGTTCTGCGAAAAATGGTGTATCTAATCGGATATTTCTAGGGCGTTAAGAGCAAAGGGACTAACGGGTATGATTGTCGAGTAACCTACGTTTGATAGGAAATTGTGCCCACGAATATTGGTAGAACGTGAGCAAGCCTTGACGGGCCACACTGAATTACGTATATGAATGTGTATTTTCTTAGCTAATAAATGTGGTATTTTCGTAACCTGACTCAGTCAGAATGGAAAAGAGTTGATAGATCGTGAAATAGAACGTGTTAAGATGAAATTGTCTAGAATAAAGTTAGAAATGAGCGATAGTAAACAGTGTAAGATGAAAATACATATTATTAAAGTAGCTTAGGAGGAAAGTCTTTCTGATTGGACAACTCAACTCATTAAGTAATATGAAATCAGTGTAATGCAGTAAAATTATATCATCACAGTCACGACTTCATTATCATCACGTGGAAGTGCATGTTTTCGCCTTTCATCAAAAGTCAATCAGGCTGTTGCGTAATAATTCGTATTCTCATTCTAATGCGAACAAAAGCAGCTCGTTAGCAGAGATTTACTTAACTTCAGGCAATTAGGAAATAAAATTCAGAGCTCTCCGTTTCGTAAAATATCAAGTTCTACTAAGAAAGTTTGACACTTCATAGAACCTCGTGATATCAAATAATAAAGATGGGAATTATATTGAGAGTTTATAACCAGCAAGATCCCAATCATATTTAACTATAAAATACAAGTAAAACAAGAGAGTAAATATGACTGAAACTCAGTCAATGTCCTGGAATAACTCGGCGATGATAGTTACATGTAGATTCAAAATTTAAGAGATCTTCACAAAGTAAAGTTTTGTTAAGAAACAGCAGCTTCACGAGTTTCGTTCATAAAAAAAAATTTCTCCTCTTACCTATCTTGTGGCTCTTGTTCAACCTGCACTCAGTGGTTTAAATATTTGATGACACAAAGAAAGTAATAATCAAAGACGGTAAAACGTGCGTGACGGATTCCTTCATCGTTCGCAAGAAGGAGGAATTCTCCAAATCTTTTTCAACAATAAATAGGTGGCGAAATCTCCTCGAAACCCAAACAAAATCGCCGTGTAAGATTTTATTACGAGAAAGGATTTCATGATTTTCCACCGAAAAGCCATCTATTAGGATTCTACCGTAATGCTGTAAGCTTCTTGAAATATGACACTTCGTGATCCGTTAGCGACAGTCGTTAGGGCAATCTCTTTTAAGACAGGGAATTTCATAATAAGTAAGAAATTAAACCTTCCTGCCAGAGATTGCAATTACGAAAAAAAAAAAAAATACTAAATGAAGCTTCCAACTACAGATGAAAATTGTTTCTCTCCGAAATGGCATTTAACATTGAAAAGCCACCGGTGAAACCTTGTAGGAATCTGTCAAAAGTGATCTATAAAAATCTCGAAAACGTCACTTTTCAAGAACAAGGCTGGTGTCTGTTGGGATACTGTTAATGAATAAGTTATTGTTTTTGACTTATCGTGAGGTTAGCAACACCAGATATTAATTTTCTTTGCTCCTTTGTGCCTTTTATGGACCAAGATGAAGTTTTTTGCGATCTACATCGCAAACTCATAAAGATGAAAGGGAGTAGCATATACGTTTATTCTGAACAGTCTTTCAGCTCTTGTAGTCGCCATATGTAATAAACCTTTGTACGGTCAAGAAACCGTGTGAATACTCGGAAATTGATTGATATAAAGCAAGTAGTATTGGTATCCAATTTTTAAGAGCGATCGATGCTAAGGATTACGTAATACAAAACAGGAGAACGAAACGACCGCTGACAAATATTTGAAATACACCAATCACAGTTGCCTAAAACCAACCAATCACAGCGGAGCATAGTGCCCACTTTGTTTAAGGAAACACATAATAAGTCGAACCCATTGCCTGAGGAGGACATATATGTATCAATTTTTTTTATACTAAATTTTAGCTTTTTCCCCAAAAGATGCACAAGATTTTCACGATTTGTCATTTAACCCAGTCTTTAAATATACAGCTCTGGAGATGTTCATGCCAGAAAAACCCTTTCAGGAAAAGGTGTACAACAAAAATACCAAATCTAATGCTTCTGAAAACTAACCTATGCTACTCATACTAGCCAAATATAAAATTGTACACATGGATGGAAAAAGCTGTATGTGAAACCAAAAATATTAGTTCCGAGTTTATACAGCTTGAAAGAGTATTTACTTGAAAGTGTCTCCAGCTTTGAAAATTACTAAAGAAAATACTATTTCATCCTAATAAACACAACCTTTACGAATTTTGCAATGATTGCAAGAGACTTATGTTTGAGGGAAGAAATTCTGTTCAAATTCGACGTGAGTAACAATGAAAGAATTTGCTTGTTTAGCTGCCACAATTTTATAATTTTAATTTCGACAGTTTACCTCTTCCACAGCTAATATTTCTAGACATGTCAAAACCTTTTAAACAAAAACAGATGGGTGTCAGCTGAAGTCAACTTTAAAAAGTATATGAAAATCAAATTGTAGAGAACATTTAATTTCATAGTTCGCTGACTCTCGTTCGGAAGCATGCATAGGGTGGTAGTGTTGATGATTTTAACTTTTCAGCAAGCTTCGCTTGGGCACTGGTGAGTGATTCCCCCATCATGATTAGTATAAAAGGAGCTTTAAACGTGGTATTAATGCACGAAAAGGGTTGTTGTCGTGTCTGCTTATTTTCTCCCCTTGTAGGCTAATTAGAGCCACAGAGACAAGACGAGTTTTTGAGTAGAGCTAAGACCTAACGAGAAGCCAAATCTCAAGAGAGAACACTTGTTGGTGATTGTCGGCTGGGAGGTCCTCATCAGGAAATACTGTGCCTTATTTGTACCAATTGTACCACTTGCAAGGGTCTACAGTGACTTGTGACATGAGCACTTAAAATCCATAGTATAAATGAATAAAAGAACGGAGGGCAAATTTAGATTACCCTGACTCTGAGGACAATTGTCTTTTCAAATTCCTCAGTGAGAAGGTCATTCGGGTAACTCCTCAGATTGAAGCTCATCTTACTTTTTTGCGTGGACTGGACAAGCGTGACGATATTGAGGTAAATAAGTAACATTTAGCGTTTAAACTCCTTGTTCAGAGAAAGGTTTCCAAAAAAACTTAACAATTGGTTAAGGGCTAAGCTACAAGTAGAACACGCACATTCATGAGAACTGAAGATCTACAACAGATACCCAAGTGGGTTCGTGAAAATGATTGTTCCTAGAAACTAGCAATCTCAGACCGTAAATATTTCGTTCATGTTATTTTCCAAACTCAAATGGCTTCCTATTTTCGACCTTATAAAACTAAGAATGCTCCTCTTTGTCTTAAACGTAAATTCAATTCCTTGTCTTCCCTTCGTTAAACTGGTTTGCGCACCAGATCTTGCGCTTTTAATCTTCAAGTTCCCTTCTTGCGGTCTAATTCTGAAAAGCGCACATTTGCTTTCTCTGCTGCCACCCTTTTTAATTGCCTTGATACTGATCTTAAGCAAATAGTTAGTGTATCTCTTTCTTCTACTATTTTTTCATCTAGATTAAACAATTTTAGCATAAACTTCTTATCTTATTCCTTAAGTCTGCTAGTAATGTTTCTCGCCTTGAGGAATTAATGTGTTATGATTGTCGTTTTCTCTTTATTATGACTGTATTAGAAGTTAATTGTTTATATCATATATATATATATATATATATATATATGATATTATATCTATTTTAAACCATACAATTTATAGTTTTAGTTTCTCTCGTAGTAAGTCGTTTTGCTGATTAGTCATTATTTTATATATGTATTTGTACTGCTATGAAGGCCGTAAGTTAAATAACTCATTGGGTTAATTACGTCACTTTCGTTAAATAAAGAATATTGTATTGTATCTTAAAAACGTTGATAGGTTTGCCCCTTTTAGACAATTTTTGGGTCACATTTTAATCCTGTAGGGTTTTTAAAATCTGTGCGCCATGAGTATCAAATCAGAAAGGCATCATGCAATTATAAATGAAGTTATCCATAGGAATTTCCGGTGAAAGATCATTAGAATCGACCAGTCACAGAGCTATAAACATTTCTTTTACTATTATTTTTATACGTTTGTTTTAGATTGACTTCTGGAGAAGCCCAAGTTATCTTTTCCAGGCAGTTGATATTGAAGTTTCAGAGAAAGATTTCTCAACCCTTTCCTCCATCCTTGAAGACCATGGTATCGATTTCGAAGTCCAAATCAATGATGTGCAGAAATTGATCGAAGAGGAGCTGGAAACGGTTGGAGGAAGGAGTGGAGAATGGCACGATAGATATCACAACCTTGAAGAGGTACGCATGCTCAAGAAATAATAGAGCCAAGAGAATGGACTCCCATACAGATCCTAATGGAGTTTTCTGTTAAGGGACGGGTCATTTCATTTTATTGATTCCCCTCTAAGACTCTTTAGCATTCTTATGACATCCTTTTAACTGGCAGTCAATTTTCTATGATCCCTCCGACACCCCTCGTGACAGTCTCCCAACGAATTAATTCTGATCAAATTTTTGTTTTGTCTTCTTTTGTTTCGTTTACTGTTTTTATTAGATTCACTCCAAATTGAATGAGTTCAGTGGACGTATGGCATCTATCTTATATCTGGGAAGGTCACACGAGGGAAGGGAAATGCGGGCCATACAGGTTTGTTGAGCGAATTTATTGTCATGGTTTGCCAAGTTTCCATTCACAATCCGTGTCAATCTTCTCTATTCTAAGTCCTCTACGCTCATTCTTTGTTCATACCCCACCTTCTGGTGTTTTTCAACCTCGGCCAATAATTATTTCACGGTTTTATGAAAATTAAGGTAGTTGCTTTAAGCAAGCTTATTGGTTGCGATTTTCATCGTGAAATTTTTTATTGTTACTTTTAGATAAAAGGAAGGGGCCGTTATAACAAGCCGGTGTTTTTCATTCAATGTGGGATACATGCCAGAGAGTGGGTGTCTCCGGCAACCTGTATGTACATCATAGACCAGGTACGCTCATTCATTGAAAAAAATGTGATGTAATTATGGGATAATAATAATAATGATACCTTATTTGTATAGAGCTATTTCTATCAAAATCCAATAGCGCTTTACAATGACTGAATTAAGCATAAAGTACTTGAAAATCCCAACTTTCAGGAGGCAGACCAGTTGGTTATTTACTCAGCGTAGCTGAGGAGTTAAACTCGGGGTGATCGAGAACAAATCCAGGGAAACGGCAGGGTGGTGGATTTAAACCTGGGGCCACCAGATTACAAGTCCAGCACCCCAATCACTCGGCCATGCCGCCTACTTCCTAGTCTCATATAAAAGTAACAAGAGCTCCGCATTATGTACGATGTCTTTGTCTCTCATGGTAATTGAGAGATAAATAAGCGTTAGGGGAGGAGTAGGTGCGCAGTTGTTCAGATACCGACACTGATCCCAGACTTCTTATAGAGAAGTGCATAATTCATAATCATTCAAATCGAATTTCACTGGCGTAGATATTGACTATCTAAATGATAAATTTACTACTTCATCTTAGCCCTTTAATCACGTGAGTGACCAAGACAGAATTCCTCTTTAAATTATCAATACAATATCAAACAGACAAGTGATGAGAATAAAGGAAAATGTTAATTAGGGAATTATTAGTTGATCCAATACCAAATTCTCTAAACTAACATCATAAGACAGTATGGAGAATTACTAAACAAATGAGATCTTGGGAGTTAAAGGGTTAAGCTGTGGGAGAGAAAAATAACTTTTTTTTTTTATTTAGATGACTCAGAGGTATGGAAAAGATTCATCAGTAACGGCTCTCTTAGATAAGATGGATTTCGTTATATTGCCAGTCCTAAATGTCGATGGATACGCTTACACCTGGATAAACCCGGTCAGTTCAATTCCGTAAAGTCTTTTAGAATTAAGCATTTCTGGTGACAACTTGTAGAACGCGAGATCGATAGTTCTTGTTTCATTTGCACAACTCCACCCAAAATCTGTTCCCTAACATTTAGCTGTAAAATTCTCATTTGATCGTCATTATCATTATCTATCTCTTCCTCTCATTCTTCTCCCGCTTCTCTTCATCCTCCCTTTTTTCCTCCCTCTCACTTGTTCTTTTCCTCCTTCTCCTCTCCCCTCTCCGCCTCTTCTTCGTTCTCTTCCTTCCTCTATCTTCCTTCCTCTGTCTCTTCCTATCTCTTCTTCTCTTACTTATCCTCCCTATGCTTTCTCTCTTCCTCCCGCTCTTCCTCTTTATTACTTCCCTCTCCTTCTCTCCTCCCAATCTTTGATCTATTTCTTACCTTCCTCTCCTCCTTTTGCTCCCCCTCTCTCTCCTACCTCTCCCCTCCCTCTCTTCCGTCTTCTCCACTTTTCATCATGATCCTTCTCTGCCTTCTCTTCATCATCATCATCATAATCATCATCATCAATTATCATCATCATCATCATCATCATCATCATCATCATCATCATCATTTTCATCATCATCATCATCATCATCATCATCATCATCATCATCATCATCATCATCATCATCATCATCATCATCATTTTCATCATCATCATCATCATTTTCATCATCATCATCATCATTTTCATCATCATCATCATCATTTTTATCATCATCGTCATCATTTTCATCATCATCATTATCACCTTTTGCTCCTTCGCACTTTTCATTGTTTTCTCCTCTAATTCCCTCTCTTAATTTCGCGTTCCTTCTTCTCTTCTCCTCTATCGTCCTCCCTCTCCTCCACTCTATCCTCCGCTTCTCCTACCCTCTCTCTTACCTCTCCTCCCTCTCTTCCGTCTTCTCCTCTTCTCATCATAATCATCTTCTGCCTCCTCTTCATCGTCATCATCATTATCATCGTCATCATCATTATCATCGTCATCATCATCATCACCTCTCTCATAGAGAGACAGGAAATATCGTCGCTACCATGGTTCAAGATATCGCTGCCATGGCGTGGATTTAAACAGAAACTGGAATCATGGTTGGGGAGGTAGGTTGTGGTAACAGAGATTTTACAAGTGAAAAAAGAATTCTGTTGGCCGTCTCGTTACTTTGTTTGTTTTCACCTTTAAGTTACTCCTAATATCACAGAAAAGCTCATTTGCATTTGGATGGGTGCTTACTTGTAGTGTATTAGACAGCGGGCACTTTTGCCATAGGTGACGTTTTTATCGATATATGGGTGATCTTTGACAGCTGCTGATTAAAGCTGAGTAACTTTTTGTCATAAAAATAAATCTCTGAGTAATGGTTAACTTTAATGTTTTATAACAGGCTCTGGGGCCAGCCACAGGCCATGTGATACCACCTACAGAGGTTCATCACCTTTCTCTGAGATCGAAACCCGTAATGTTCGCAACTATTTGGAAGGAATGGGAGGAAAACTGAAGGGTTTTATCGATTTCCATGCCTACAGTCAGATGTGGTTTATTCCGTGGGGGTACACTTCCAGAAGAACACCGGACTATAGTGAGCAGGTTTAAAAAGTTCCTTACGTCACCTATATAATGTTGGCTTTTGAGTATTGAAAAAATGTTGCTCATGCCCTGTTTATGGGTCAAAATAAGTATGAAAATGTTTTTTAGCTTAGTTGTTTTTATGTAGATAAGGGACTTCTGCTGGGTTTTAGTATCTGAGAAAGGGATCGACTAATCGGCCCAAACAGACAGACGGACAGACTGACAGACAAACTGTCGGACTGACTTCCCGACTGACTGGCCGACTGACCGACAGACTGACAGACTGACAGACTGACAGACAGATTGACCGACTGACTGACTGACTAACTGACTGCCAATAACAAGCGGACAGACAGGGAGACAGACAGTCATACAATCGGTAGACACTCATGATCAAAACAAAGTCAGACTGATAAATATAGATAGGCAGACAAGCAGACAAACAGGCAGAAAGAAAGAATGAACAAAGAAATTCAAAATGGGCATTTCAATGTTTTTGATCAACTGCGTGATTTTTTTTTCCTGTTGCCAGATAAGAGTCGCTAAGGCTGCCTCAGATGCTCTGAGAAGGGAACATGGAACAAGATTTAAATATGGCTCGTCTGCATCTCTGTTGTGTGAGAATCAAACAGTGATCTTTTATCCTTAATATTTATTTTATCTTAAGCACTAAAAGAACTAAGAACATTGAGGAGAGAAAGTTGAGAAAACGTGGAATTCGTGTTTAAAAAAAATAGACGGAAAATCGCACGAACAGGGTCTACTTAAAATAGATTGGACAGCTCCAATCGATTATGGACGGCAACAAACATTTTCGAACCGTGTTATCTAATTTCCAACACTTCCGCCCGGTTTTGTGGGCTCATTTTTATTTGACCCTTATTTTCAGATCCTGCGTCTGGAGGCTCGGAGGATTGGACTTACGGAAAGCTTGGCGTGACCTACTCATTTTCCGTGGAGTTGCGTGACACAGGTCGTCACGGTTTCTTACTGCCAGCCAATCAAATCATCCCAACAGGAGAGGAGACATTCGAAGGGTTAAAAGCTTTGGTCAGAGAAATGAGAGTGTAATCATTCAAGGAGGATAAAATTGTAATGTGCAACTTCTGATTATAAAACGAATAAAGAAAGCTTAGCACATGTCAATAAGCTTATTTTCTCAATGCCTAAAAGCTGTCATCTAAGACTAGGATTACTATACTCTTGTTTATTGCATATCATTTGATTTTGGTGATCTATTTTAAGGGACGGATACACCCCGTGATTTACGTATTGTTCACCTCTTTCTGAGAATTATTCTCATACCTTACAACTACTTCAAAACACTGCATAAAAGTTGGCGAGAATCTTACATGCTCCATTTTCAAATAATCAAAACGCTTTTTTAAACTGTTTGAATTTAACCAGTCAAAAGAAACACTTTTTGAACCAAAATATAACACCCTCCCCTCTCCCTTGGCCTTCTCTGTTGTCGACCGCTGCCGGTAGACGTATGCCGGAGACCTTTCAGAACGAGGAAGCCTGAAACTAGTTGAAAGGGAAACAAACATGGCGGCTGATGCAGGAGTGATGAGTGACAAGTACTTTCTAGATGCTATTGAAGGTAAATAAGTATTATTCAGGTCGTCTGGGATGTAGTTTCTAATGAAAATTATTTCACAATAACTGGCGCCACTATTTAGGTACAACAACCACGTCTTTAAAAATGAAGAGCTAATAGAGTTGATGTTCGTTTGTTCGACAAAATAGGATTTTTACACGTAACACATTGCAGATTGTTTTACTTGCATAATTGTTGATCGCCCTAAACAAGTGTATGTGCCAGTCCCACAGGGAAGAGTAAAAAAAGTGCATAGGGTTGATACTTCAAACTGCATCGCAAAGAATTTGTGTTCGTTTTCAAAAGAATCACTAAGTTGGCCTGTGTTGACAGCTGCCTGAGCCAGGCTTCTCAACAAAGTGGATTGATAATATTTTGAGATTCTAAAAAATTGCGAAGGCTTATCTTCAAGGAGGCCTTGGTTAATCTCTATAGCCTTGACTCAAATCGATAGACGCACAAGCTTCGACGATCAAAGTGTGAACTTCTTTCACAGACATTTATCTCCTTTTCTTTATTCCTTTAATCATGGGTAGTGTGCATGGATGCCTCTCTTCGATTTCAAACGTTTCGGAATATTCTTTTGATTTTAAAAGACTATTTAGTAAATGCTTTTTGGCCGAGCGTCAGTATTCAAACCAATTATGAAATAGCAGAACAACAGGGGTAACTTTTCTCGTTTGGGAAGTTAATTTGTGTTATGATGTGTTTCTGAATGCCCTGGCATGCCGTCAATCAATTTATTGCATGCATATTCAAACCATAACCTGATAAAGCATTTTCAAGAGAGGAAGAATCCGCTTTAAGTGTTTTTAATCGATTGCCAAATTTAGCTGGGTTTACAAGGACGTTTATTCTTTAAGAATATATCGCTTTAGTTCACAAGACTGACTTTTAATCCTAAACTTGATGAAAAACGAAAACACTCACCCTAAAGAACGACGAAAAGCGACGTGAACTTATCGAAAGCAAATCAAAAGTGACCTAAAGAAAAATTAACTCCAAAGTAATACTCTATTGTTTTGTTCCTCTCACAATCACGTGCATGTTGGTATTTATTTCCCGTTCAGTAGTTCTTCTGTTCAGATGAGTCATTGATCGTTTAACTGCATATTCAATACCAAAGCTTTGATTCCTTCAAAAGCTTCTCTTGCTGTGGGAACTATTAACCTGGTAGGAAGAAGGAAGCCGTGTCTTCCAGTGTCTCTTAGTTCCATCGAAAATGTGTATTTTACTTTTAAATGCCCATAAAGATAATCCTTCATCGTTCCTGATTCGATATCTGCAAGATGATTACAAAATTATATAAACTACTACTGTAAAACACCTCTAATTTGAAATACAGGTGGAGGTAAAGCTGTAAAATTTAAAGAAATGAAAGCTTTCGTTCTGAGGCACAGCTAAATGGTTTGGAACTTTGCAATGCCACCCGAAAATATCAATTTTTGGAATACAAGAAAACAAATCATGGTTTGGTCACCCAAGGTGCTATTCGATTACATGTCATAAGACCAAAGTTTCCTCAATAGCCAATCAGAGCACGGGAATTTTCATAAGCAGCCAGTGAGAACTCAAATTAAATATAGGCTAGTAAATAAGGCGCGAAGCCCCTCCTCTGATTGTTTGAGAAAGCAAAACGTGCTTTCAGAATCAATCGCAAAGCGATTCAGTCCTAGCTTACTTCTAAAAATTATAAAAATTTAAGACATTGCAATTCACGTGTTTGTGAGTAACGTGTATGTTAGGAATAATTTCAAAGTGAAGCAAAATACAAAAGCAATATAATCCCAGAATTGTTTCTATCGTTTCCTGTCATCATTAATTAAATAAAGTACGTACATAGGATGTCAGATGTTTGTCCAAATACATAGCTGGTGTTGTCGCCTCCTTTCGTTTTGATCGCGTCCACCACAGCTTTGCTCACTCGCATCTGAAAAGGAGTTGTGAAAAAATAAACAAAAAGCAAAAACTCGATGAATTTCTTACCCCTCCGGGTTCCATTAACGTATCCTTGGCATTTCACTGCCAGGAGAACTGTCAAAGGCTGTAGCAGGGTTCACTCGAACAAGGATTGCTCAATCCAGAGTCCAACGCGCTAACCAGGAGACCACTGTGTTCTTTGATGTGGGCGACCTCAAATCCATCCCAATTAATGAGGTACTTACTTACAATCGCGCGAAATTTTGCATTTATGTTAACCCTTTACACCCTTATATCAGAATGCATATTCTCCATACTGTTCTTTATACAGTTCCCAAGGTACTGACAAGGAGAATTTGTTTACCGATCAAAAGCTTTTTTCGTTGGAGATTATTTCCTTCATTCTCATGACCTTGATGTGTGATTCAGGGGAAATAATGTTGGGAGAAATTAGATGCTCGTCACTCTTAAGGTTTAAGGTGTTGACTAATTTATGGATCTTGTACTTATGAAATGAGTCGGAGGGCTGAACGGAAAAATGTGTGGCGCAGGGTCACGAAGTAAGCGCTCGAATTTATTTGTTCGTATTTTTTTCATTTTTTTTCTTTTATATGACCACTGGTCTTTCTCTTTCTTTGCGTTTTCTTTCTGCTTGCAGCCAGCACTTCCTCAATACCACATTTTGTTTTAAAATCTTTTTTGGAGAAAACCGCGCGGGGCCGAACGGTCGATATGATAAATGAACTTTGAAATGTAACCAAAATTTGAAAAACCAACACCTAAATATTCACAAGTACCCCTGAAAAAAAGGGAAAACTCGAAGATAGCCCTATGATGCCCCCTAAAGAATTATTACCAGTTCTAAGTAGTCTTTACAATGTGCCTTTGTATAGCCCCAAGGAAACATTAACATCTGACTGTAAGAATGGATGTCTAGGAAAGCCACCAATCTTCTCCCTAAGGACTCGAGATACTTGGCAACAGCCTGCACTTCTTCTTCTGACATCGCGCTGTTTCCATGGTAACTGTCACTGCAGGGATGGCTGCTTGCGCCAGGTTCTGAATAATGAAAGAAAAGTAAAAAATTTTGAGAAAGTCAGTTTTTGCGTTTTCCAAGATGATTACCTTTTCAGATAGTTTCACACAATTTGAATTTCTCTCAAAGGCATGAAAACGCGTCGCAACATGCAGATTTTTTGTGTAATTGTTATTTGATGTTTGGATATTTGGGTCCATTTTAATTTAAAAAGAAAAAAGAAATACAGGAATTTGGTCGACAACTTTTTCCTTTAAATAAATTAAAGCACTCACAGGGTTAGCACACCACCCTGTAGCCCCCTACAGCTAAATACGGTAAAAGAAGGAAACATTGGCCGGTGGAAAATAAAAATAATTGAAATATTTTACCCCACATATTTGGCCAAAAATATGTGACAAAAAGGCGTGTTTCATATACTCTACTATTGTTGTCCTTCTATCTGTAAGCCAATGGTTTCAGCTACAATTTCGTATTTTTTTTCTTCTGGTAGTTGAGAGAAGACGTTTTACGTACCACCCCACCTGAAACCCCAGTTTCGGTTGAGATCAGCACCAACGCATTGGGAGCCTGGGTTCAAACTTCTACTCTTCCGCCACATGCGGTCCTGTGAACAATAAACAGGTAAATTAAGTGTATTTTGTGTACTAGTTGTTGGATTGTTTTTTTCCAATTTTCACCCACAAATTTGTTTCACTTCGTTTTGACTCATCATTCTCATAAGTTCTAGAATTTTTAGCCTCTCTTCAATGGTAATTTCATTTTAGAGAAAAAAATTATACTTTTGGGAATTTTCTTCATCTCCACAACGTAGTACTGAGATTTCATCATCAATAATACATTACAAAGTAGCTATTACTAATGTTTTGAGTAATTATATCATGTATAGATCCTCGTTATCTATTTGTAACAATTCCTTGTACTTCTCACAATTTTACAAGTAATTTACAAATGCAAGTATTTCATTAATCATGATTTCAAGTTCTTTGCTTGAACCTACATCGTGTCGTGTTCCGTTCGCCCTCGCCACCTCGATCTGCATAGCTATTCATCACTGGAGGGGGTAGGGAGAAGTTGGAGGATTTATGTTGTCACATCAAAATTTTACCTGATTCCCCGATAAGACTCAATAGCAGTAAACTTTCTTTAGTTCCCCTTGATACTCTGTTAGCAGCAACTGATGCCCCCCCGTTCCCCCGTTCTCCCGTTCCCTCGTTCCCCCGCTCCTCCATTTCTCCGTTTCTCCGTTTCTCCGTTTCTCCGTTCCCCCGCTCCTCCATTTCTCCGTTTCTCCGTTTCTCCGTTTCTCCGTTTCTCCGTTTCTCCGTTTCTCCGTTTCTCCGTTTCTCCGTTTCTCCGTTTCTCCGTTTCTCCGTTTCTCCGTTTCTCCGTTTCTCCGTTTCTCCGTTTCTCCGTTTCTCCGTTTCTCCGTTTCTCCGTTTCTCCGTTTCTCCGTTTCTCCGTTTCTCCGTTTCTCCGTTTCTCCGTTTCTCCGTTTCTCCGTTTCTCCGTTTCTCCGTTTCTCCGTTTCTCCGTTTCTCCGTTTCTCCGTTTCTCCGTTTCTCCGTTTCTCCGTTTCTCCGTTTCTCCGTTTCTCCGTTTCTCCGTTTCTCCGTTTCTCCGTTTCCCCGTTCTCCAGTTCCCCTTTCTCTCGTTCTCCCATTCTCCCATTCTCCCATTCTCCCGTTCTCCCGTTCCCTCGTTCCCCCTGAAAACCATGTTTTCCCCCCCCCCCCCCAAAAAAAATGCTGAATCCCCTGCTGCCCCTTCGGGCGTTGATACATGACTAGTGCCTTACAATGACTGTCTTCCGGCTTCATCTTACCTTTCCCCATGTATAAACGTAACCATCCACATTAAAAACAGGCATGATAACAAAATCAACTTTGTTCAACACTTGTTGTACCGTTATGTCATCTGAATATCGGGAGGTAAGCTGTGAAGAGAAAGGAAAATAAATCAGGTAGTGTCCCTGTGGTTAAAAGCAAACTAGCTCATCCGCTCATAATTCTTACCTGGTCTATGATATACATACATGTTGCTGGGGAAACCCACTCTCTGGCGTGAATTCCACAGTTGATAAAAACCAGTGGCTTAGGGATATGTAGAGTTGATCCGATCTAACAAATAAGTGGAAAAATTGATACATGATATCAATCAAAGGGAAGATTGCGTTGATAAAAGATACAGTTTAAACAGCTCTGGAGAGAACAAATATGAACCCAAATTGAGACAATTTTAGTGTTAAAAAGGATTTAATCAGAATTTCGCGTTATATACAGCTCCTGTCCAATACTTGGGATGTCTTTTTCGCACAGTTTGTAGACGACATGGTTATTTTTGGGCTAAGATAAATGAAAAGTATCATTAATTAAATTAAAATTTACCTCAACAGCTTTCAGTTGTCTTCCCTCGTAGGACTTTCCAAATGTGATCATGCGCACTCTCTCCTTAAACCTGGCAGCAGTTTCTTCTAATTTGGAAAAAATCTTAAAAGGAAAGTTCAATATTTTCTAAGAGAGACAAAAGTTACAGTGCTCATATTGTTTCAGCTCTGCTATACTTGAGACGAAAAACCTTACAATACTGATATCATAAAAAAAGTAAGTTATATATGATTTCCTTTTTGCCAAATCTCTACCATCATTGTCCATGCAAATCTTCTCAAAATACAATTGGATTTTCTCAGTTAACGTTGGTACAACGATGATGCTCCATGAGATTTTTATGGCATCCTTAATAAGGCGTGAGGTCATTTAGCTACAACTATTACTCGGGCTTTCCAAAGAAAACGCCCGAGTTGAAATTATGGCCTCACTTTTTTATTTCGTTCGGTTGCAAGTCGCAGCCAAGTCAGATAAATCAGCACAGACACTGTGTACAATACGTTTAAAACGCATACAAAATATTCACACAGCGTTAACAGAAAGCTCGAGTGAACGCAAATATGCGTCAAGTTAAGGAAAGATACCTGAGCTACTTCTTCGGACTTTGTGAGAAATCGTTTCGATAAGTGACTAGAATGTGATTTCTTTAAGTGAAATTCAGTGTTATAGAAAATATTGTAGTTCATCGTTTGTCTCATGATGAAGAGTTTGACTGTCAACTGTATTGATTACGACGTTCTGACAGCTCTACTCCTTATCCGGAAAGCTGTTATTTGTATGTTTTGGTGCCGATGCTGCCATTGGTGTTTTTCGATCCTCATTATTATTCAGACTATTATATGTCAGAGTTGCAGTCACTACTTCCTCTCATACTGGAAAGAAGGAGATCGAGAAGTCCTAGCTCATCCATTCAAGAGTGATCATAGGTCGCTCTTGCCCGTGAGTGTCTACCGACAACTATGCTAAAACTCGATAGGCTCGATTGTATTTCACGCTTTTCTTTCTTTGTCACCTACCTCTGCCAGGGTATGGTATTTCTCAAACCACGAAGACTCTTCACGTTTATTACGCCAGTTTCGGTTTTTTCTTTTAATAGCTGACTGTAAGTCGGATATTTGGACTTGAAACTTGATGTTATGACTATTTAACAAAGAGGTTATGTTTCTATAAACTTGTCCTGGGGCGAGACGAATGTCAACAGGTGTTCCTCGAAGCGAAGAGTGTGTCCAAAAATCCACCTTTAAAAACAGAAGATACACTCCTGTCTTGTCTGTGATATATGCTCTTGCGTACATTTAAATGTTTTAAGTCATTTTGCCCTGTTCACACCAACTTAAACAAGTTTTATGAAACGTAGTTATTTTTAAACATGGTTTTAAAAAACATGTGTTTTTCCTCAATTTTTAATTAAAAGTCGAAAATGATCCGCAATTGCTTGGAGGGTCTCAATGGGGTGAAGGCTTTTACGGTTAACTGATAAAATTTAAGCCATTTTACGGCTAACGATTAACTTCTTCTGTGCGGTTAAAAGAACATTTTTTTACGGTTAACTTTAATCGCTACTAACGGTTAAAATTTTTCGTTATTCATTAATTTTCTTCCGTTTTACGGCTAACGGTCGACCCCATTGACACCCTCTGCTTAGGGTTTGCTTTAATTCACGCTGTGATTTATCCAGAAAACTTTTATCATCCCTGTAACCAATCAGATTCAAACCTAATTGCAATCGAGACTTGCTCGCTTGGGTTTTCCCACGCTTCAAGCTCTCGTTCATTATATATTCTCGACTAAGTTGAGCAGGCACAGAACGTCTACTTACAACTTCATTGTTAAAAAAGCTGTGAAGTGACCGGAGAAAATCAACCTGTGCCTTTGTCTTGGGAATGACTCTCAAAACTTTGTGCCTGTTTGAAAAAAAAACAGAACAAAACAAAAGCTCATGATTAATAAAACATGAAGATGATACAACTCTTGTAGACTGAAGCACTCCTAAAGCTCCTTTCCTTTGTTCACGAATCCCCATTTTTACCTAATTTACATCTGATTCCTATTTTGTTGTTTTTCTTCCAAGCCCAACTGATAATTTTTGGTTTCTGTCACGATACAAGTAACTCAGCATTTGGCAAATACATGCACTTAGGGTCTCATTCCTCGAAATCATTTTATCTTTCCATCAAAACTTCAGGTGTTATTTGCAATACATTGCGAGTTGAGTACGCTTTGACTTACCCGATGTAAACTTTCCTTGAATCAATACATTTTACCAGGTAAGTTAGAAAGAAAAGGCTACCAAAAGCCATCACAACAAAGCGAATTCTCATAGCTGTTGCTTCCACCCTTGCCACACTTGCCACACGTCTTTTCGTATATCCTAAGGAGCACAGGGTAATTCTCATAGGAAACCATCAACGTGTAAAACAATATAGCTGTTTATGAGACACAGTTCAACCCTTTTTATTTAAAAATACTCTCTTCAGACAGTTTGTATGCTCTTGATTCAGCCAATTTTGAAGGAGTTTCCACTTCCTTGCTTCGCAAGGCTAAGCGCTTTGAAAATAGCTCAGTGTAAATGAAAAATATATTCAGAGGAAGCTGTTTGGCTTCTATCTTAAGCATAGAAAATAAAAATAGTATCTGAGTCATCCAAAAAGTATTAAGAGGTTTCGATTTCGCTTTCAGATTCCGCACTATTTAAGCTCCCGAAGCCTTTTAGTGAGCAAAGCTTCCGTTTTTTACTTTTTAAAATTAATTGTGATATCAATAATCCTCTGAATTTGTCCATCGTGTGTTATCTACACTTGTCTTCAGAATAAATTAAGGTAATGAAAACCTTTCACCTTATTTTAAAATACAAAAAAATGAAAACTTTTCAACTTAAACTTTTAAAATTCATTACTGATCTATTTTTGCGCATCAATTTATTCACTTACTATATTTTCTTGTGCACAGCAATCTCTTTTAAGAAGTAGACCTTAAATGATATGAATAAAAAGAAATTGTATAAACGGCCGATGAAAGAGGAAAAGGTTGCTTCTCGTTTGAATGAAATTGTCATCTTTTCCCGATTTTTGCTTATAAACCTATTTTTGCATTTCACTTTTCTTCGAACAAAGCTGATCTCGAATTTAATAGCGCAACTTCTAAATTATACAAACTGTATGGCAAGCAGCGTGTAAGATTGTTCGTAATAACTTGGATTGCATGCATACAAACACAGATGACTTGAGGTTAAACTTTTAAATAAAGCACTTTACCTCAGCTTGTATATGGATATAACCACTTATCCCATCATTTTGAAATTCTTGTTTTTATCACGCACTCTTGGGTCAAATTTCTTTCTGGTCCGGGCTGAAGCCCTAACGTTTTAGGAGTCGAGATCTCTTTAGTTTCGACTTGAACAATGACGAGATAAGATTAGAAGGAAAAATTATCCACAAGGGTCTAGTAAAAATTTATGCAATTTCCCTCGGCGGTAATAATTTATCTACAGAGTTCATTGTTTTGAAAATCATTTCTAGGCCCGCTACTCAACAACAGTCAAGTCAAATTATCATTTTTCACTGTCAGCTTCTGTTATTGCTTTTGCTAATGAGAAGGGTTTTACAAAGTCTTACATTGTCCTTTGTAAGAAGAACTTTACGTAGGCTGACGCCATTTACTTGATCCGAAAAATCACTGATCAACGCAAACTGAAAATCCCAATAATTTTGCAATAAACAAATCTTACTTTTTTCCTTTCTGTCTAAATTTACTTCGCGGTAAATATATTTTAATTTTTTTATTTATTACGTTTGTTAACAAAAATACTCTTCTTAATCACAAGAGCAAACATGTTTTATGTTACTTTTTAATTTAAGGTTGAACACAATTGACTGAAGAAGTACATCAAAAATGTTTTTCTTTAAAGTTTGGTTGCTTTTATCTCACTGAAATTAGTTGCATCAGCCAGATGTCAACTTCACATGCCATCCTGCTAATTAACGAGAATTAACACCAAAAGAATGGTGCCTCTTGTCTTTATGATTTATGCCTACGAAACTAGAGATCTTAGTGAGATTTGATTATAAATTAGCTTCATTTTAAGTTATACACTCTCCTTTGATACTGAACCTCTTGAAAATAGAGAATAATACTTGCCGTGGCGCACGTAGATATAGAACTTCTCTTCAAGCTTTCAATTCGATAGCTCACGAGTGAGCGCCACGAAGAAGTTGAACACGAGAAGAGCCATGTATTATTATCTTTTTTTTTACTATACAAACAATATAAGCCTTTGTTGACAAGAAAAGTCATCTGTATTAATGGTGAACACTCTGCAATTCATTCATAAACCTGATAGAGTGGCGCAAAAGGCGAGTGACGTGTCAGCAGCTGATTAGCGATATCAAACACATGTAAAAAAATTATCGTAATTTTACACGAGTGCAGTTAAGGCTTTTCTAAGAGCTGGAAATCCTTTTGAAAACGAAAAAATACTTCTTTTGTAATAAATACAACTACTTGACTCCCTTAATAGTGATTTTTTTTTACCTCCATAAAATAGCACTTGTTTTATGAGACTTCTAATTGCGATTGACAAAAGAGATCGGGCTTGGTTTAATTTTTTTTTTTTGTCTACAGATAGATTTGAAATGTAAAATTTTTTTTAGCGGTTTCACGTCAGAAAAGTTCTGTTCTCTCTCCCACGATTCCATTGTAAATACTAGCGGATTTGTTTCGCTCTACTAAGGAAACTGAGTGAATTATCGTACAATGATTCTTTACATCCCGTGGTTAAATATGTTTTAAAAACACTAAATCCGCTTGCATAGTATGCTGGCAGGTTGGACCTGTAGATATGAGGTAACTGGAGTTTAAAAAAAAAACTGTCTGGAATTATTAGCGACAGAGGAAGATTTTTTAGAGGATTAAAACGCTCAGGAATCTTATTCTTACTCTTTTGCTATTAAACCTTTACACCCTAACATTAGTATGTACGTTACAGCAATTGTCCTATGAGTATTTCCAGTACACCCGCGCACGGGATGCTATTTCATCGCAGATCACTACCGAGCATTTCTTCATGTTTCTCTGACAGTTTGCGTGTAGACTTCAAGCATTCCTTCCCATTTTGGCGATGTCCGTCGCAAGAGACTGATTCTTTTCTGACTCGTGCAACGAACCTCGTTGTAGAAGAGGGACTGCTAGTAATCCAGTTTGCGAATACCCATCAATACTTCTTCGAGAACAAAGGCACTGTGATAATTTCCTTTTATAGTAGCCTAAAATAAGACCCAAACAGAATGAGTCTCTCTTATTTCTGTAACCAGCCCTTACGTCAGTTTCGCTTAGTATTTCACAAGATTTGTTAAAGTTAGGACATGGCAGAGTTACGTGTCATATTCTGGAACATGAAGATCAAACTTAGGGTATTTCTTACCCATCTCACTCTCAGGATCGACCAGCAAGAAATTTTTATACGAAATATCAGTTAGGATATTTTTTTTTATTATTATTCAACATTTTCAAGGCTATTTGAAAGCTATCAAAGGTAGTGAAGGAAACTGCTATTTTTATCATGTAAGTAAACAGATTAACCTGGATTCCGAAACGTTATCTGTCAGACCAACGTTTCTCTTAGCCCTTTGACCCCTGAGAGAGATTGAGAACTATTTTCTCCTGTCAGTATCACCCCTATAAAAAAAACCGTGAGGTCATGAGAATAAAGGAAATGATCACCAACTAAAGAAGCTCTTGATTTTTAAACAAATTCCCTTTGACAGCACCATAGGAAATGTATATGAAATGTGGATTTCACATCCTCTAGTACATAGTATACGAGTTGCAGCAGCACCTTATTTATACGCCAATCATAATATGAACTCATTTACGAGTTCAAAGTTTAGAACTGTTGCCTTTCATTACATTAATGTCATCTTTTAAACCTCATTTTTCGCAATTAAATCAGTTACCATGTACCTCATCAAGAGTATGTTACCTTTTGTGCCAATCGAGATCTTTCACACGGAAACATGAAGGTAAATAATAACAAGCTGGAGAAGAAAACAAGCAGACAAGAGGTGATTCGTGTGCAAAGGGAGAAGTCGAACTTTGCGCAAGGACTTGCCTGTGCTTCTCATCTCGCACTTGCCTCCGCTTAGCTAAAAAAGCAACATAAAAGCAAGAAACCATAAAGCTTCCAGATCCTACCTCTGCGTGAGCAAAATTTGGTGGAAGGTAACGATGAAAAACAAAACCAGCAGCGTGCTTATGTCTTCCCTTAGAGCTGATATCCTTCAATACTCACTCTTAACTCCAGCATCAAGGGCTACTAATTGTGAATGATTCAAGCGAGGTGGAACTATGTGATAACTGGTAATTTTGTTTGTATAGAAAGCATTTCTGGATAAACAAGGAGAGAAAATAGAACGAACAGCTGTGTTAACAAAGTTGTTAGCATTAACTAATCATGTTTAAAAAAATAATTTGAAAGGTTATTTTCTTTCTGAGGTAGTGGAAAATTGAATTACACTGGTTCTACCGTTACTCAATTATTCCCCATAAAAGTGGCCTTTGCCCAAAATGACAAGTTAGACCTTGACTTCCCTGCGCTTCGATTTAAAAGTTGATTGTTTTTTATAGGGTTTTCGTATTCTAAAACTTTGTAAGTGGAGTCATAGATACCGGATATATGATGTGTAAACGATGGAAAGACGAAGGAATAGTTTAGTTTAGATCTTGTGACAAGGCTTTATAAGAGCTATAGCTAACACCAGCCTTTTCTGTGGGCTAGAAGAATCATTGAAAAGTGCAAAAGGTAACCTTGATTAAAAATAAAGCATTCTTTAAAATTTGTCAGAGGAAAATGCCGTATGACTTAAAGATCATTTTTTTAATATTATAAAGGCCTATAAACAGACATATTTCGAAGCTGTGTTGAAATAGCTGCGTTATGCTTACAAATTCTAATCTAATATTCTCAAACATTTGATATAAAAAGTACCAGGATAAAAAAATATTTTCGCAAACCATGACGTAAGATATAGGTCAAACGATATCATTAAAAAAAAAACATTGAAAAAAAAATAGCTTTTTCTCTTCACAAAAAAGAAGCAATATCTACTTCCGGTTTCCGCTTCAGAGAAAAGCGTCAACGGAAATTCGTCTACGTTTGCAGCAAACACAAATCTAGAGTTGAAGACAAATTTCAACCACCCTTTGGGATTCATATAATGCTGAGACCAGTACGATTATCCATAGAGAAGGTAACTGAATAAAAGCAAGACGTACACCTGACGAAAATACTAAACAAAACAACAAAAAAAACCACGACATTTAATAGTTTGCATTATGTTCAGTTGATACCCCACCGGGTGGATACCCTTCAGCTTTGGACGTGAGGAATCTGGCACTAGACACATCATTGCATGTTAAACTGGAAACATGGCGGACGGATGATGTAAACGTTTAGGTTGCGAAGAGGAGGTCATTTTAATAATTTCGTAGATTAAAACTCACAGCATGGGCAAAGAAAAGGCAGGAGCATTAACACCAAAAGCCATATCGAATAGAATTAAAGCTAAAGGTTTGCAGAAGCTGCGATGGTATTGTCAAATGTGTCAGAAACAATGCCGAGATGAGGTACATGTTCTGTGAAGTCCATTCTTAAATTTTTTAAAGTCGATATTGATATTTGTGAACCGAATAATATTTCATGTACCTCTCCTTTACCTTTTCTTGGGAAAGAATGGATTCAAGTGCCACACTATGTCGGAATCACACCAACGCCAGCTTTTGTTATTAGCAGAAGATGTTGATAAGTACATGGACACTTTTTCCAAGTAAGCTAATTTTCACTTTTGTTGATAAACATGTAGGCTTAGTACTGTGTCCGTGATTATTATAATTTAGGCAAAAATACAGAGTACAGGGCTTCTTATTTACATAATTATCACTGAATCAAAACTGGGCTTTATAAATATTTCTTGTTTATTGATGAAAGTTAACAATGTCAATCTCAGTGGCCTTGGACAATGTTAACCACACAGCCCCGTATTTCCTGAAAGTGCGAAGATTGAAAAATTCCTTTTCATGATTAATTATTGTGTTTCACTGGTGGCAGGGAGTATTGATACTAGTTCTTTCGTTTTTCAATTGTCAGGGAGTTCCAAGACACTTTTCTAAAGCTTTTGAAGAGACAGTTTGGTATGTGATGTGGTGTTATTGTATTTTACAATTTTTTCTTGTTCATCATGGCTAACTTTCATCACTTGGTCAAATTTTCTACACAACTAGTCTCTGAAACACATTCCTTTTCCTATTCAGTAGTGAAAAGAGGCTGAGTGTGACTAAGCAAAGTTTTTCAACCAAGAGCAGCAACATCTTTATAATAAATGTTGTCGTTCATCTTGGTTTAATTGGTAGTAAAATGAAAATTAAATCGTTTTTCACATGATGTAGAGTCAGGCTATCTATTATATTCATCCCGACATTTCAAATGCTATATTGATAGTCTTTGTTGGGTGATGAGGCCAAAAGTTTATGTGTTGCTATTTATAGCACCTTGGTTTGCTGTTTTTGGTGTGTTTTGGAGCACTGTCATTGGTGTATTTTGTATTTGTATTTTGATCTTGTTTGTTACTCATCCACGTTTGTTCTTGTATCTGCCCTCAATGGTCCATGTTATTTCATGTTATACACCTGCAGTTCAACAGAAACGAACAACCAAAACATCAACAAAAACATTTATTTTGTATTGTCACTTACTTATGACTTGAAAATCAGACAAAGCATTAGAGAATATTAACTTCAATTGTTGGATTACTGGATTAATTGGAACATTACAGATTATGACATGTATTATGTAACAGTTAACTCTTCAATTCCAAAGATCTGATTGTTAATTCTCCCCTTTAGTTGTTACACATTTGCTTCAAAATTAGTGACAAGAATCTGGTTTTGGATCACAATAAAATCTTTTACAGTGTACCTTTTAAGTTTGAGCATTCTCTCTACCTGTATCCTGAATAATGTGTGTGTATTATAGGGAGAAGTTACATGTGAATCACCTCTGGGAGTAATAAAGCTTTAAAAAGAGAGGTGACACTCAGAGCAGGGGATGATAGAAGATACAAATTTATCTTTACAGTGAACTCTCATCCAAGCTTGTATGGGTCACCATTTGATGTTGTTGATAACCAGAATTCTGCACTGTAGGTTTTCTTGAATACACTTAAACTACAAAGTATGCAATACCATGGACCATCACGGTGGATGAATAAATTTTTTATTGGAGAGGGGTTTTAAACTTTGATTCAGAAAACACAGAATTTTTTTCTGTATTAGGGAGCTTTCACAAGCTAAGAAATATTTCCAAAACATTTTTTCATGTAATCCTGTCATTGCAAGAATTTTGGTTTCAAAGAAGTGGTAAAATAAAAGAAAGAAAAAAAAACAGTTCAAATGTGAAGACCATACCCCAACCTTTACCCCTTCCATCAGTAACAAATAAAACTTAATTTCTTGCAACACTTTTTTTTTTTTAGGAACTCGTAGAGTAAGGGCTAATCAAGTTTATCAGGATTACATCAGTGACAGGCATCATACTCACATGAATGCAACTCAGGTTAGTGTAGGACTGTTTGTTGACTACAGAGAAAGTCTTGGTTTTTTGTCTCATGCTTATCACAAATGAATCAATATTTCATTGTTATCTGTATTTGATTATTAGATATTTAACAATTATGCCTTTGCATGTTTTATTTTATATTTTATTACAGTATGATTTGATTAATGCTAAACATGTTCTTTTCCTTTTTTAGTGGGAAACTCTAACTGAATTTGTAAAGTGGCTGGGGAAGGAAGGTAAGTTATGTGTTATTCACTGTTATGCACAAAGCTTAAGTTATTGCTAAATGTAATGCGAACTGATTTAATCCTCTAACCCTGAGGAGTGATGAGCATCTAATTTCCCCATAATACCGCTGATCATTCATTAAGATAAGGTGAATAAAATTAAATTTTTATTAAAATTAAAAACAAGTGAACCTAACTAACTTTGATTGTTAAACGAATTCTCCTGGTCAGTACCAAAGATTATGTATAGAAGAGAGTATGGGGAATATGGATACTGATGTTAGAGTGTAAAGCAATTTTCATCTCCTTATAATTGCTTCGTTTTTTTTTCAATTAGGACACTGCAAGGTAGATGAGACAGAAAAAGGGTGGTTTATTTCATACATCGACAGGGATCCTGACACCATAGAGAGGCAAAAGGTACATATGGTAGAGCCCAAAATTTTATTGTTATCACTGTATAAAAGGGTTAAGTTTGCTAATAAACTGTGGTGCTGCATCAGTAGGAGAGTATAAAATAATAATTTGGTTTTATCAACTGAGTTGAAAACTTAAGTGGGCCACTGTAAAGAAATTCAAAGCTGACATTTCAAGTGTTAGCCGTTTGCCATTTGCTCTGACAAAGGGCTAAGGCTAAAAAGTGTCAGCTTTGGAACTCTTTACAGTTGCTAAATAAATTTAGGTTTACTTATCTACTCAGGTGATAAAACCAAATTACCTTGTTACAAACTTTAAGAGCTGACGGATTAAAGAGTGCAAAGAAAACCATCATCAACTGTTTGATAGGATCCAGTAGTTTATGCCATCATTATCCTTTCAATAGAATTTTAAATCTTAATTGCTTGGGTACAAATGGAAAGGTAGTACATGTACTTGTTACTTTATATTTAGGCAGCTGCGGCTAAAGAAAAGATGGAGATGGATGATGAGGAAAGACGAAGTAAGCTTCCTTGGTGCTAAAGTTTTAAGATGTGATATGTAAATAAATAACATAATTTAATGATTTGAATGAAACTTTCATCACCTCTTTCATCACTTCTGCTACTAGTGTTTCTAGGGATTTGATGGGGTGTGCTAATGCATCTGATGTTTTTTCTCCCATTTAGATTGTGATTTCACCAACCAAATTTACAATATTTCAGACCTGCAAACATGAATGTTTCAGAGAGTATGCACAGAGATTTTATTATTTTAATTGTACATGGCAAACTGTAATATATTTAATGCATCTGACCAATAAGCAAATTTATTTACTGTTCAACAGCTAAACTTCTTGAAAGGCAAATTGAAAGAGAACGAGCAAGGAAAGTAGATGAGGTTTGTCTTGAACAAAAATGTCTTCTTATTATTTCAATATTGTCTTTCAGATCCTTAGTAAATACACATTTTTTATGGTATTTGTTTGTTTTGTTAGCCAAAACCAGTCTTCACAGAGCTCAAACGAGACAATGAAGAGGAAAAAGGTTTGCTAGATTGATTGTCAGTTATCTACTGCTACACATTTCCTTATTCCTTGTCGTTTTTAATGATACCTCCAACCTGATAAGTTTGCAGATTCTCATTGCCTGTTTGTTGCATCTTCTCAGTACTGTTCTCAACACAAATCCTAAGTTGCTGATAAGGAGATTAAGAGCTTCTTAATAGTTGGTGATCATTTCCCTTATTCCTGTGACCTTAGTGTTTGATTTAGGGGTGATCATGTAAGGAGAATTTAAAAGCTTGTTCTTCTTAGGGGTTAATGGGTTAGCCTCTATGATCTGATAAGATATTGTTTGTCCCCAGCTCTGAGGATGTAGTCTTCTTATGTTGTGGGAATGTTTTAGACCAATCACTGAGCATAGAAAAGCAATTCAATGGGATTCTACAGTACTCTCTAAGCACATTTGCAAATTCTGTTTGTCAATTTATTATCATGGTAATAATTTAGTGCAGTTTTTAATTGAGGGTAAAAAACTTGAACCCAAGTATTCCCAGCAACCAGTCAGAACAAAGATATACATTATCGTTAGCCAATGAGAACTCAAACTGCTTAGCGCGGGAAAACGCGATTGACCAAGTCGCGATTGTTTTTATTCTTGCATCTGATTGGTCGAGAGAATGGCGAGATTTTCTAGACCAATTGCAAAGTAAAGTGCAGTAAAACCAAAGCAATCCTGGCTTACTTTCAACGCCCATTGGAAAATTTCTCTAACATCAAATAAATTGTAATTTTCTCTTTTTTAGTGACGTTCCTTATGCCAGCGGCAAAGAAGGAGTCTGATCCAGGCCCCAGCGGGTAAGCACATTACTAAAAGAAAAAATGTCAACCGAATTTTGTAAGAATTTTGTCCTCAACAAATCCTTGCCAGTATTTGATCATACCTGTATTTCTGGACTTAGGAAACCTCTCAGTTCCTGTGAGTTCTCTGAGGGACATCACGTTTTTATCCCCTTAAACGATAAAAGAATAAGGGAGTGTTTATAATTAATTTGTTAGTGTACGCATTGTTACCATGATTATAGATGACTTCTTTGCTACTATGCATTAAGATTTCTTAAGCCAACTTTCCTCAGCGAAATATCTCAGCGAAATATCTCGGCGAAGTTCAGTCTCTTTAAACACGCGTTCAAAGCGTTGTCTGCTAGTTTCGATTTTTAGCTTTGATCACCTTAAGAAGAGTGTAAACTGGGCAGTTTCTGGAAAAAAATTACAAGGCCTTAACAGAGACCAGATTTGAACACCATGCAGGAACTAACCTTCACTGTTGTAATCTGCAATATAGAGCAATGCTGTCGAGGTCAATTGGACTGCCAAATCCAATTATGTCAGCGAGTTTGATGCCGAAGGAAAAGAAGAAAGAGAAAGAAAAAGCCAAAGAAAGGTATTGAAACTGTTTGAACAATTGGAAGGGCTCTTCGTTTTTCGTTATTTTTTTTTCCTTTTTTTTTTTTTTTTTTTTGGCTCCTATTGAATTGCAGACATGTGTTCTCAATGTATTGTACAGGCCGTCAGCTTGTTAGAATATGTAAATAAAGATTTCGTTTTGGAGTGAAAGTTTTTGTCTAGAGGGTGCCGTGACAAGACGATGAATGTCTGTTATGAAGGCTTCGACAATAAAGTATATATCCCTAATTTAACAAACTTTCATTTAGTCGAAGTTTTTTGAAGAGGACGTCAACAAAAACAAAGAAATCTCAACTGCTTTGTCTTTCATGCGTTCTTTTTCGTTTATTTATGTGTTTCATTGTTTTTGAGACAGAGGGGTGTTTTACAAGGGAGGGGAGCTAACTTAGCACTGGTGAAAGTTTCTGTTCCTAGTTAGCGCTAGAAATAATGTACAGAACTTTGTTTTTAATTTTCTAGTCAAAAGCGGAAATCGGCGCTGGAGGAGATAATGGAAGTAAGTTCATGGAAAAAAGTTGTCATGTTACAGAACTGAGGTTTTTTACCTCTCAGACGTGGACCAAAAGGGAATACTTTCGTTTTACTAATAAACTCTGCATTTTTTTTTCCTTAAGATGGAAGAGCAAAAAAAGATGAAGATAAGCCGAAAGGACAACTGGATTGCAAAAGTAAGTAAAAGTCAGATACGAGGTGAAATGGATGGCAACCCAGCGAGTGAAGAGCGAACGAACGAATGAACGTACGAAAGGACAAACGAACTAGCGAACACACGAACGATCGAACATACGAACCCGCGAATAACGACCAAGTGAACCAGCGAACTAACGAACGGAAGACCGAATGAACCAGCGAACAAACGAAAGAACGACCGAGTGAACCAGCGAACAAACGAACGAAAGACCGAATGAACCAGCGAACAAACGAAAGAACGACCGAGGGAACCAGCGAACAAACGAACGAAATACCGAGTGAACTAACGCACCTACAAACAAACGAAGAGCGAGGGAAGGAACGAACTAGGAGTGGTGAACTCTTTATATTGTAGTAGCAGTATAATAAAAATAGTATACTAAAATAATAATAATGATAGTATAGTATTGATGGTACGACTGCAAAGAATTTATTCTGGTACTGTGAATCATTGCATGAACTTATCTTCTGGCGTTCATTTGCAGGGAATCGTTGTGAAAATCATGACCAAAAAACTTGGAGAAAAATACTACAAAAGGAAAGGAACAATAAAGGTCTGAACCTAAAATACTGTTCGTTACAGTCTAATTTAAACGAATGATCTCTATGGACTGAATGCGTCTTTACGAAGGCAATCTTACCGTCTCCACCCTGAAACTACCGGAAGTATTGGTCACATGACCACTTCTTACAATGCATCAACCAGTAAGAATAGACAAACAAACAAACAAGAGGTTATCATCTCGATAGAAAACCAAATTCTCATACAGCTGTCATCTTCTGCAGCCGCCGTCCCCGCCTAAGTTTCAACAACATCAAGAACTTTGTCACATTAGTTGATTGTTCCCAACCTTCCTTTTTTTACCGCAGGACATTAAGAATCTATTTGTAGCCGTGATAAAGATGTCAGATGGTGGAGATGTTCTCAAAGTGGACCAGGAACACTTGGAAACAGTCATACCAGCCATAGGTATTGTTGCTTCAATAACTTGACCGGTATCCGTCCTTTAGGGGAGATGTCTGTAATAATCTTAAGGTCTCGAGATGCGCAGGAGAAATGGGGACAAGTGTTGGTGGTAAGCACACGACGAAAAGACTGTCGGCTTTTCCCACGCGCCTCCCCATGAAGGGATTGGGGAAGAGTTGGTAATATATTCGGAAATAAAGTTATTAATTCTCAGACTAATTCCTGATTACCAGTTGAAGAAGCCTTAGATTGTTGAACAAATTCTCCTTGTCAGAACCCTAAGAAATGTTTAGGGAGTTGTATGGAGAATATGCATACTGAGTAAGGGAGTGAAGGGTTAATGTCAGATGTACTCTAAGCTTTATTTGAGTGGTGTTGTTTGATTTCGTTGTTTGTTACACTGATTCTTAATTGAATTCTGTTAATTTGAGTAACGTTAGGGAAATAAAAACTGTTGTTTCTTGACGTGTATGGTTTTGGAGGTATTAACTGCATTTATTGTATTTCCAGGAAAGACTGTCTTAATTGTAAACGGTGCCTACAGAGGAGCCAGAGCTTCGCTTGTGTCCTTGGATGAAAAGACCTTCTCTGTAGCCGTAGAGTTGAAAGATGTAAGCTAAAAAAAGCTTTGGTTGATCAGATTGACTCACTGTTAAGTGTTTTATATATTAGTGATTAGTTGAGCATCAACGTACTGTATAGACCAGTTGTCATTTCATTATCTTGACGCCTGAATCAAGTTTGTTTCATGGCCCATTCTTAGCGATGGAGAAATCACTTCAGACCAAGGAGAGCTTAAAAGTACGCAGAAGCGAACGATCCCCAGGGGTGGAAAACACAAATGATCAAGTACTAATTGGTTTTCATTCGGAAATGTTTTTTGACAGGGAAAAAAGAACTTCAGTTCGCTTTTCTTGGTGGAAAAATTCACGTAGACGTCGGATACCTATTTCTTTGTTTTTGCGTTTCCCCACAGGGACCCCACCGAGGGAAGAGAATTGACAGGATCCCGTATGAAGACATCTGTAAGGTTGACACGTGACAGCAAGTCCCAGAGCCACATCTTTGGTCGCGAAAAAATGGGAATGTCAGCGCTGAGACGTGGGAAAAACCACACAGGATAGTTAATGCTACTTTGTCATACTCAACAAATATATCCAAAGAAAGGCGTTTCAGCAATCCTCGAGAAAACGTTTGCTACAGTATTTTACAACGTGCTTCCACAAAGCCACTAAGCCATGAAGCCATTTTCTTTTTTCGGTAAAAATTTGTTTGTAGAAATATTGTAAACATATTACATTTTTTTTTTTTTTCATGAAATAGTAATAAAAAGGAGTTAATGAGTATAGCGTAGATGTGATTTTGTGTTTAGCTGTGCATGTCAAAATATTCCCCCTCTCCTACCTTGCAGTATTTTTTTTTATTATTGATTGTGAGGCTCACGGAACTATTTGCATTGCAAATACGTTACTTCATTTAGTATTCGCTCTAGTTTTGTCAGGATCTTTCCACGTGTTGCTCAGAAATCTGCTTTATGGATTGGTTTGAAGCAACTTGTACCGTAGAATACAGTTTTGGTTGCGGTTGCCTGAAACGACCTCGAACGTCAGGCAATTGAAGCAAACATGTTAGGTAATCTTGAATGACGGTTTGTGGTGAGTAACAGCCTCCGCACGTGGTTTACGACCAGTAACCCCAGTCAACTAAGTGAAGCTGTGAACTGGTAGGATTTTGGTCATCTTTGAGCACGGGTAAGTTATCTATATTCGTTATATACGCAAGGTTTAGTTAGCAGCAATTTTGTTTGCTTTGAGAGAGCTTCGTTTATGACAGGTATAATTTAACGAATATTTCGTCTTTCCATTGTTGTATTTGTTTCTCTATTGTAATAAACAAACGCGAGAATGAACTTTGCTACCAAATTTTATTGACGTCTACGTGAATTTTTCCACCAAGAAAGTATTTCAAATTTTCTTCAATACCCAACTAATGATTAACTTGTAAGATTAGCCGGGATCGCCCTGACAAATCAACAAGATTATGTAAAGGGTTGTTAGCGAGCTTTAGTGAGCGTTTTTTATACCCTAGAACTAACAAAATTAATTTAGGTGTATAGTTCGAGTATTCGAAGTATTCGACTGGATGATGGGTTAGGTGAAAATTAGGCACAGTTTTAGATCTGAAATATATTTTTGGAACAACTACTTGTCTGGGCGCGGTAGTATCTTCTATGTATATGAGAGGTAGGTGATCGTCGTAGATACTTGGAAATCCTGTCGCAATTAAAGCCTAAAATGGCCAGTATCGGGTCGGGGCGATCATGAACTTTTTTCGGTTTTTGAAGCCAGTTAAAAATATCCAAAGAATTACTTGTCTTGGTTAAATTTCTTAGAGGAGCTTGTCTCTCTCAGTTAAATTTCATTTTACACTGTTATAATGTTTACGCATCTTTCACTAGTATAGCAATGAGGGATCATGAAACAAGCTTTATGAGAAGTTATGGAGAAAAATGCACTCTATGCAGACTAGTTAAAAACTGTTTTTATGTGGTCTGGATTTTTCGGAATTCGGTTCCCGCTAAACCGCGGGTGTATCTAACTTTTCTTAGTATTTGAGGACATTCTAATGAAAATTTCATGTCTCGTCCTTTCTCGTCATTTCTCTACCTTCTGACGAAGGTGAGTTGGTCGTGCAAAAAAAAAATAAAGAAAAGCAACGAAAAAGAGAAAAATAGAAGTGCCGAGGGAATCTTTCATGAAAATCCCTAAATAGTGTCTTGTATAGGGAGATAAATCCCATCTGACCATTGTAAACGATGTCAGAAACCAGTGCTAGTAGTGTGTTTAATGTATTTTAGGGCACAAATCCTTTGATTCTGCACATTTTTTCTGGTAAGCAACGTGAAATGACAAGAAAAGACAAAAACCTAGCTCAGAAGAACGTGTAGAATTTTAAAGGAATAAAAGGTTTTTCCGATTTATATACCTTTATTTCTGATGTACAATTTCATGTATTGTATGTCTCATACAGGTCATTCAATCATTTCCTTTTCTTCCAGGTTTGAAAGATGTTCGAAGAAGATTGAAGAAGTTCATTGACTGAAATAAAGTTTTATCAAACATCTCTTGTGTAGTACGTGGTGAAGATGCACGCACACGCATAGGAAGTGATGTTTGCAAGAAAACTATCGATCAAAGAGTCTACGCGATTAAAAAAGCCTACCGCAATTCTGCAAACAAAATTTCTCTCTCGGGGAATGTCTTCAGCGATGAAAAGTGAGCGCCAAAAAAACTAAGTCTTTTGGCGGGAAAATTGTCCATAGAAAAAAAAGTCTGCGGTTTTGAATTGTCTTCAGTTGAGCAAAAGGTATACAAGTCTTTTGGCGAGAAAAATCTTGCATTGTGCCGTTTCTTTTCTCCCATCAAAAGTCACGTATATATTTTGTATTAGCACTAGATCCCGTTCAAATCAGTAGAATTTTTTTTCCTCTCGGCAACCCTCCATACGCAAAAAAAAGTAAAAGAGAGCCTATATTTTGACTTGTCACTAGGCCCTTTTCACAGCGCAAAATTTCTTCTTTGTTTTCGCTTATTTTAAACTCGAGACATAAAAGAGACAATATTATTTGAAAACACAAATTTTATTTGCCTTTAAGTCTATTTACCAAGTACAAGTATATACTAACAAGTGCAAATGTCGGTAAGCATAACTGAACACCAAAAGAGTAAGTCTAACTAAGTGAATTTTGATTAAGACTGTAATTGTCTCGAGAAAATTGATAAAATTGAATTTTAAGAAGGATCATTAATAAGTCTCATATCTGCGGAAAATTGTGGACATCTTTTGAAAATAGAAAGTGCAAACTTACTCAAAATAAATTTATGAATGCGATTGTCTGATAAATGTACTTAAGACTAGAAAGTAGTTGTTTTGTTTTGTTTTTAACTAATCGTACTTCCTTGAGCCGATAGTAATTGACTTAAGATCAAAAATTTGTTCCTGCAGGGTACTTCAAACAATCTAAGGGTAAACTTATTAACGATCACTGAAAGTGTGCCTTTTAAAAACAGTTTGCGAACTTAGAGTATGAAAGAATTTTCCTAAAACCTGTAATTTCAAACTGTTTAAACAAATTTAAGTTTTAAAATCCAAAACTTTTCCTGACGAGACTTTTCCTGCACTAGACAATTATGTAATGACGAACTTAGGTCTTATAGTGTTTTGTTTTCAAGACAAATTACTAAATCTGTTCAATGAAAAATTCATGACTATTTACTGAAAGCATAGCTAGCACTATATGTTACAGTTTTTACCTCTTACGATAAATTTCCAAACGTGTTTCTTGAACATCTGGGTTTTCTCCAGTTTAACCTTGTGTCCTCACTTCATTCTTGGGTCCAAATTAGCGAGGAACGTGTACTGAAAGAACTGAAAGAAAACAAAACAACATGTTACTATGACACATCAAAGCTTTCTCAGGTGTAAAATATTGGAAATGTGCCATCTTTACTCGGGACTAGATTGTGCAAAGTCATTAGTCTTTAGTATAACTGCTACGCTCGATTGGTCGAGGATTACGTGACCACCTCGCGCGAGCTGATTACGGCAAGGGGCGCTAAAGTTCATAGTTGTGGCCTCGCGTTTTGTCTATGGAAGTGATAGACGCGATAGGAGCAAATTTAATTTCGAAGAAAAAAAAGATGGTATCAAGTTTGGCGTAACAGAAAGATTTTAAATTTTAACTGTTTGAATCAAATAAAGCAGTGAAATTTTAGTGGAACGTGGCTCTTTATCTCGATACGACTAAAAAATTGAAACAGGATGGTTTCAGCATCAAAAAAAATTCAAAAGCGCCTAAGCATTTATAATAAAAAAAATTCGCCCTCAGGTTCAGGGAATATTGTTGAATAAACCTCTCGACTTCGTCTCGAGGATTATTCAGCAATATTCACTGAGCCTGAGGCACATCATTATTAAATGACATCTATTATAACTATAAACGTCTTCATGGATGACATATCTAGACTGCGTTGTGACATCTTTTTAACGACTCTGTGGGCAGCTTTGGTACCATTCGTTATTATTACATCACTAGGGGTGGGGTGAGAATTTTGGGGGGGTCACATGATTTACAGGGGGAATGGAGGGGGAACAGTCGTTGCTAACAGAGTATAAAGGAAGAAGAATAGAAAATTGACTGCCATTTAACTGCCGATGAAGGAGATCATAAGATTGAAACAGAGCCTTATGGAGGACCAGGGATCAGGTAAATTTTATCGTGACAACCGAATTTCTCCAGCCCCCTCGGGTGATAAATAGTGATCAGTTCCATTATAATGATTATTTTTTTATATGTTCATGTCTTAATCAGTGGAACTATTTCTTTAGAGCTGACACAAAATATCACGGTCGATTATATTTTAGCTGACCATCTCAAGACAAATGCACTAACTTGTGGCTCCTATGTAATTTACCTGCAATTTACCTAAGCCTTGAAAACTCAATCGTCTCTAATAGCGAAATTCTCTGGCTTTTTATTATGTTTTTAAAAACCTTAATGGTATTTCTCGAATTGGTTTGTATTGGTCATCTGTACGTGTTCCTGAGCTGACGGCAAACAACTTGGAGCATTTTAAACATAGTTAAAAAACTTTTTTTTTAACTTTTTCTCATTAATCAAAATTCTTATTCGTCAACGATGCCAATTTCCCTTTTATTTCAGAACTCCGTGAATTTCAAATTAAAACAAAGGGTGCCTAAACAGCATGCAAATATTTCAAAATAGATAAGCAAATAAAACATTTGATAAAATTAACCACAATAGTTATCAATCTGTTCGACAACGACTAAATATCACACGCTAATGCATTCTCTGTGCTTTATTTATTACTTTCGAAAAAAGTATAGTTTCTTCACTTTTATTTTTCTTTGGGGGGGGGTTAACGTCATTAAGATGCAACTAAAATTCCCCGATGAGCGCCAATTCTGTAAACATTCCAATCATTCTTGCGTCGTGACCGAGTTTCACAAAAAAATTTTGTCCTATGAGAGTTAAAACTATCTGGTTACAAGTTACACACATATTCCAATGCAAAAAGGTGCCAGGTAATATTTAATCAATCTCATAACGATGGTTAGAATATTTGACAAAAATATTTCTAAACTTCTCCTTCCGTTTCTCCTTAACACAAGTAATAAGGAATGTTGCGATCTGACTATGATTTTCAACGAAAATTGAAATGAATTTTTTGCGTGAAAATTACCAAGATTTACACACAGCCTCATACTTCATTAGGCATTCAATTCTTGGATGAAGAAAACATTTGCGGAAACAACTATTGCCTTTGGGAGTACGGCTTTGAATTGCTTAACAATAATGCAAAAGTTAATGCTTTGATCACCATGCATTTTATCCACATGTCAATACATTGACTTTAGAATGGCAGCCACATGCCACAGCCACATGTACACATTCTATGCCTGTTTTGACCAAAAGAACGTAGGTCGTAGCTCACCTTGGTATCAGTCTTTGCTTTTATTTCCTTTCTATCCGCTCCAGTTCTTCATGTGGACTTTTCCCGCGCAGAAGGTCATCTAGAATGAAAAAAGAATCAGTGTAATTTAGTTTGGTTTCATAGATTGGAACGGAAAGATTCACTCTAGCAAAAGCCCAGTTGATTAGGATCAGATCCAACATTTTCTTTTTATACTAATATTCTTTTCCTTGCAAATACAATTTTTGTAGCGATATCTTGCTCCTGCTAAGCACACGCTGAACGTGGTCTTAAAACCTAAAAAATTGCAAATCTAATTTCAGTTTGAACTTGCCGCCATTCCGAAACTTCACATCTTCACCAAATTTAAACTCTGACTGACAAGCAATTAACAAATTTGCCCTGAAACTTTTCTGGCGGAGATATAACAGTAGCATTATTTATCGGGAACTAATTCGAAAGAACAAATTTCTAAATTACGAATTTCCTGAACGACAGCGTTCTTTTACTGCAATCTCAAGATGCACTCATTCTCCCTCTTACCTTTTCTTTCTGTGGTGAAAAAAATAAACTTGACCCTGTAGAGAGCATTTATTCTGCTCAGGGGTTCAAAGTAACATCTCCATGCCACTGTCAAGCCATGTTTCAACGCTCAACTTCTTGATAGGAAGAGTTTTTAACCGTCACTGGTTCCTGAGCTTGAAGTGAAACGGTTCAAAACATGAGGCACTGTAAAATGTAAATGAGTTGAGATGAACACGTGCAGTTTAAGCCGCGCACATCACTAAGGAAGACATTTGCGTAAATTTGCATGATACAAGAAGTTCTGAGTTGAATTTGATAAACCCTTAGCTTGCACATTCTGCAGTTCGTAACTTTTCTAGAATTCAAGGTGGCTCTAAACTTGCAACCAAAGGTTTTTGAAATTCCCGAAGAGACGAGTCTTGAAATACTGATTGAAGTTTAACAATTTAAAAGAGGTTCATAGAACTCTTTCAGGCAAACGAAGCTGAAGTCGAGGGTGTTTCCTAAGGACTACAGTTTCTATAATATACCCCTACATCTCCAAAAACAATTTCGATTTGCTGAGAAATAATCAAGCATTTTCTCTAATTTTTCTTAAGGAAAAAAAGTGCTGGTGTAAGAAACTAACGAGAACAATTTTAGCTAAAAACCAATATTCTGCATAAGACATTTTTGCATTCTTAATAAAGTATAAGAATTCAACCTTAAGTATCTTTTACACTTTTCGCACTCAAAGCAGTAATTTATTTTAGCGCTCTTCTTCTGGCATGTACTACAGCTGATCTCATTTCCTCTGCCACTACGTCGAGCTGCAAGAAAGCTCAAAAACCTGTTTTGGAAAAAACTGCTGAGTACGTTATCAAAACGATTTTCTTCAGCAATGTGGATTTGTGCCTGACACTCAGCGCATGGATACAGCCCTTGTTTTTCTCTAGTTAGTGCATGTCTCTCCAGGTATTTACAATAGAACGAATGAAGACAAGTAATGGTCTTGGGTTTGGTGTAAGTATGCAAACAAATCGAACATTTTACATATTTTTTGAGGTTTTTCTAAAAGCGACTTCCAGACAAATACACATCCGTTTATCGTTTGCTATTCTCAGAAAACTTGATGTGAATTAACATTTTATCGAAAGTGTTTTGTTTAATTCAGCTGAATCTCGTTCCTTCGGGGTAAGTTGAAACTTGATTTTTAAATGCAATCTTCCTTTTGTTTGATTTCTGTATGATTGCGTGATTTGATCGCTATCATCGCGTGACTCTGTTTTGGCGAGTCATTGTTACGAAATCAAAAAAATATTCGTCCTCGAGTAAGAATCATTGAAGATGGAGAGAATCAAAAGAGTATTAAGAATACCCTTCCTAGCAAATTATATCTGACAAGCTTTAGTCCATATAATTAGCTCAAAATCTTACTTTCCAAAGATTCAATGTAATAACAAGAATTCATGAATAATAAACACGTTCTGGAATTCTCAAGGGATGACGAAACCCAAGAGGCAAACGAGGGAGAGCAAAGGAGCAACAAACAAACCGTACAAGCTGACCTCGCGCGGTGAATATAGCCACATAGAGCCTAATTAATTCAATGATTATCGTTACATGTTCTTAGTAAAGTAAAGAGTAAGTTTATTAAAATTGAAAAAGAATCAATATTAATCATACAGAATTTCAGTTATATTGACAACGCAATCAATTAAGTGTTCGTTTCAAACTATAGTATAATAAGAAGTTAACATCCATTGTATAGTATCAAAATTAACTTTTTCAACATCACTAATTATTTTAAACATGTTCAATTGACTTTCTACCGATTTTTCAAAGTGTTCTATCGTAGTATAAGAATCAAGAATCCCATAAACATTTTCCGTAATAATGACAAAAATCTAAGGTAAGAAATTTTTATTTTTAATGTGAATAATTATTTATTTTAATTATTTTTCTCGACTAAAATCTAGCTTGCTAACTGTTAAGCATGGTAAAACAAACCATTTTGTCATATTTGTTTCAATTCCTTTGCCTTCTCGGTTGATGTAGCCCAAAAACTTTTCTAAAAAAGTCTTATCGAGCTGAAAGTAAAGATTCTCGGCATTTTCAACTTCACTAAACAATCAGGCCAGCTACAGAAGCATACAAGTATTACTGAATTAAGCAATTATCACAATGTATAGAACTCTTCATTTTATATATACAAATTAACTCAAACGAGTTTCGTGATCACGTGATCACCTCTTTTGTGCATTTTAACAATCTGCTAAATTCTACTGGTATATTAAGTAAATAACATGACTTACAATTGTCGAAAATAATGTGTAGTATAGAAAATCTCAATTGCGCAATTATTTCAAGGAAAGCTCTTTGGTGCAATTGTTTGACATTTTTAGCTTTCTGTAGTTCAAGTGACAGCTTAAAAATATTTTAGCTCAAAATCAACTTTTTCCTCAAGTCTATCGACCATACAGTCCATAAAAGTCAATCCATTCAAACATTACTTAGCATTAAGTCCTTAAAATTTCCATTTAAGAAGATCTAACTTGTCTTAGTTAAGATATAAAAAAGATTCTCAAAATTTAGCAACCAACAGCGATATGTTACGAGCCCCTTAGATCAATAGCTATTTTTCGGCTTCAATTCATGTCTTCATTATGACGAGTAATTTACCAAAGAAAAGAACAAACGCGAAAAATGTGTCAGTGCGATGATGAAAATTCTAAGTCTTAAGTCTTAGCCCTCCATTAACACATTTTAGGAGAATTTCGCTGAACGAAAAAAGAAAAAAAAAAAGCATGAGGCATCAACATATCCATGTTGCATTGGTAATGAAATTGTTATTTTTAGATTTATTTAAGAATTTTTACTTCTTTCCCATGGTGTTCAGTGATTAAAATCCGATCATCTGGCATTGTGGTAACACCCCAAGGTACTGTTAGGTTTACCTTAGTACTTGTCTTGCCAGTGAAAGTTCCCTCCAATGAATACTGTTGAATGCGTCCATTCCTCGAGTCACATACGAGAAGGTTGCCATACTTGTCAACACATAAGCAACACGGGATATTCATCTGTCCCTCACCGTTTCCTTTTCCTCCGAACTTGTACAAAAACTGTCCTTTCCCGTCAAACACTTTCACACAGTTGTTTTTCAAGTCAGTTACAATGAACTTCTCCTCGTAACAAACGCAGCTGGACGGATTATTCAGCCTTTCTGGGCCGCTGTCACCAAACTTAAACACAGGCTCACCATCCATTGTAAACAACTGAATTCTGTTGTTACCACAATCCGCTACAACGATAAAACGTCCATCACTTGTAATACAAACACCTGTGGGATACTCAAACTCTCCATCTCCGCTTCCCTGTTTTCCAAAGCTTTTCACAAAGTTCCCTGTCTGTACATTCAACTGCTGTATTCGGTGATTACGTTCATCTGCCACTAGAATCTCGTCACCGTTTAGGAATGCGACCTCAGTCGGACTCTCAAATTGCCCATCCTTGTCACCTTGATCACCAATTTTTCGGGCAAACTTTCCTGTCTCATCAAATACTAGAATACAGTGACCATTAATATCAGCCACAGCAATAACACCTTTACTGTTCACTGCAATGCCGGCTGGAGCCCGACGCACTGCTTCCTGAAAGTCCAGTTTACCAACAACGTTAATCTCTCGTGCTTTAACCACAATAGTAAAAGGACTCCTGACAAGTCTCTGTCCGTTTACCTTCACTTCTATTTTATATGTACCTGGTACTTTCACCACAAAGTTTGCTTGGAAAGTTTCCTTTTCTTTTTCACACGTCACCAAACTTCTCACCTGATCCGCAGGGTCTATGTGTATTTCAACACGATCTGTGTGCTGAGTGTTTCTGATTTCTCCCTCGCTTGTTTTGGGACAAATTAGAAGCTTTGCTTCTGCACCAGCTTGGATATTCTGATCCAAGCCTTCTACGGTCGATCCTTGCACATCTGTTTCGCTGAAGTTCGTAAATCCCAGACTCAAACTCTCTGGTTCACATGTCGACACAAACTCCACAAACGAGCTAACCGGAAGTGTTGGCATTGTGGTCTTGATGAGGTCTTCGATTCGTTCTTCCACATTTCTCTTGTTTTGCATTATGTCTGAACTTGAGCTTCTTTCAACCAGGTTGTTACTGAACGCAAAGGCTTGGTCAAGTTGCTTTTCCAAGGAGACGACCGATGCTTTTCCAGAATGTAATTTCTCAACTCTTGATAAGCGAGACTTCTCGAGGGCAGTAATGGCTTCACGTTCCAGTTTGCAAAGCTTTTCCATCATCTGTTCGGTTGCTTGGGAAACTTTGTGTTTAGCTGTGCTAATGTTCACTTCTAACTCAAGCTCTTTCTTCTCAAACTCACAAATAACACCCCGGCAGACCTCTTTCTTCTCTTTGACCAGCTGCGCTCTGGCAATGATGTTTGCTTTCTCATCGTCCGCTGCCTTCTCAAGCGGAACAACATAATGGCTTTTGTGATCAGTGGCAATGCAAACTTGACACACACAGCTTTGACAGCCCACGTAGAAAAACTTCGTTACCTCTTTCTCGTGATACTTCTCCGAGCAAAACGAGTGCCGTCTCAACAAGGCCTCATAGTCTGTGGCCTGAAACTGTCGCACTGGTGTGACTTTGTGTTCCTGAAATATAGTATCTCGAAACACTTCATGTGCTTTCACGCAGTCGGGGCACATAAACTTCTCGCATTCAAAGCAGTAGTTGATCTCAGCGCTCTTCTTCTGGCATGTACCACAGCTGATCTCATTTCCTACACCACTGCGTTGAACAGCAAGAAGACTCAACAAACTGTTGTGCAGAAAACTGCTTGGCAGATTATCAAAACGCTTTCCCTCAGGGATGCGAATTTGTGCGTGACACTCAGGGCATCGATAAAACTCTTGTTTTTGGTTCGTTAGCGCATGTCTCTCCAGGCATTCACAGCAGAACGTATGAAGACAAGCAATGGTCTTAGGTTTGGTGTAAGTATCTAAACAAATCGAGCATGTTACATGCTCTTTGAGGTTTTTAAGAAGCGACTCCATCATGAATTGCTAACAAAAACACAACTGCGTAATGTGTTTGAGATTCCGAGAAGGTTTACCTAAAGAGGCAAGCAATATTAAAAGCAACCAATCAGATCTCTTCAGGACAGCTCTCGTGATCCCGAAATTGATATCTACAGATGTTGCAATTTTTCACAGTAAGTGTCTCTGATTCCGAGAAAACGCGAGTTAATTGAGCATGCTATTTTAGGCAGAGAATCAAAAAATTCTTTAAGATCTTGTGATCTCGGAGTAAAAGTTGACAACTTGGCAGTATTTATTTTCAAAGCGTTTTTTCAAGTCGATAATCAAATTGAGCACAATTTTTCATTGTCTAGAACCTTATTGATCATAGAAATGACGTCAACAATGTCCAAAACTAAAGTGAAACCACTCGGCTGCGCTTCGTGGTTAACTGCAAAGTTATAAGGACAGGGCCGTTTTCTTGATCATGGTTTTGCTTTGGTTTTTAACAAAGGACATTTTCCCTAGTCGAAAGGTTTCATGATAAGAAACTAACTTTAGTATTTTCCACGACCTAAGTAGTCAAACGCGCGAATGTAAACAAAGTTGGCCCAACTTTTTTTTCTTTAAGCTCAAGCGTGTTTTGAGGTCTTCGCTTCCATTTTTCGAACTTGTTTGTTTAAGTAATTATCTTCCATTTGATTAACAAAAAATCTTTCGGCCGAAGTACTTGGAGTAACTTAAATGAAATTATCAGCCACCAAACCAAGTAGCTCAGGCGAGTCGGCAAATAATTCGCGCCAATGAGAGGATACTTGAGGTCATTCATCTGATAAGGTTGTCAAATCGAACACAAAGCATTTTTAAATACAACGCTTGATTAGGAAATTACAACTTAGTCATAGCAACTACATTTTCAACAACGACTGCTGAAACGCACGGAGTTTTCGATTGAAAACCAATAAAAAAAGCAGTAGTGAAAGTAAGGCCTGAAAAAAAATTTAGGCCTGGACGGGATTTGAATCCATGACCTCTGCCATACCGATGCAGTGTTCTACCAACTGAGCTGACAAGCCAACTGAGAACTGGTCATTATGTTGGTTGCATATAAACCCGTAAAGTGATGAATAAATGATTGTGAATATATGAAAATTATATCATGCTAACTGCGAATAAAGACATGAATATGAAAGCGATCTTCGCAGTAATGTACCAGAGTTCATGGGTTCAAATCCCGTACAGTCCTGAATTTTTTTCAGGCCTTATTTTCACTACTGCTCAACTAGTGTTCATTACTGCGAAGATCGCTTTCATATTCACAACGGTACTACTTTTTGAGAGAGGAAATAAAATGTAAGGGGAGGGAAGCTAGGGAATCTTCAATCCAAATCTTCTTGTGTTTCAAATTTACTAAACAGTAATTTTCCGTGCAACCTCTTTTGCGTTTCAATTTTCTTTAAATACGAGGTTTTACTTCATCCTCGTTTTTTTTTCTTCTTTTTTTTCTTGGGGGGATGGGGTTTTTAAAAAGTTACTTGCAGACAAAACACGCACCCCTTTATTGTTTGCTACTTTCTTACTTGAATTAGCATTTTATCAAAAGTGTTTTGTTTAACTCAGTTGAGTCTCGTTACTCCGGGGTATGTTAAAAATTTGATTTTTAAAAGCAACCTTCCTTTTGTTTGATTTCTGCATGATTTGACTGCTATCAAACAAAACAAACAAAAAACAAAGAAAAACTATACTGTATTTCATGCAAATCATTTTGCCATCTCCACCCGCAAATAGCAAAAGCTAGACGAGGCAGGCGGAGAGGAAAGGTTACAGCAGCCATAACAGATAATATTAATGTATGTGCGCCAAGATGGCTGCCGCTTACTGTCGTCGTTGTTGTTTTTTTAAGCTTTTGTGCTTTGTTACCTTGTTCGTTCAGTATCTTGACAAGCACAATTCAATCTGTTCGCCTCCATCTACCTTTAAAGGCCCTTTTAGCGTCAGTCGAAAGCTATTTTCTGCTTCTCGCTGCGGTCAAGACCTTGCTGTTGCAAGACGCTCAACTAAGTTACCGATCACCAAATGGTCAAAGCATGGTTCGACGGTTGCTGCTCTGTCTGAAAGAGGTTTCATCAAGGACCTATCTATTGCAGTGGATGTTGAAATTAATCCGGGTCCGGAAAATTTTAACTACATGCCGACTGCTTCACTTCAAACTTCAAGACCTAGATTTTCTTTCAGTCGACGTAATTTATTTCAACTTCGCTCCTGTTGTCCTAAGGTTAAACTGGATTATTATCTTATTCATCGCTTAAAGTCATTGGGAATTTATAGAGCTAGAGGTCGTAGAGCTGGTGTTAATTCTAGATTTGGATCTCGTCAACAACATCACAAGATTCCAGTTCGTGTCACTGACCACTGTTTTTTATCAACGACCAAACGCGCACGACTTCGACCCAAGGATACAAATTTGCATTTCATTTCTACTCACTCTTCTTCTTTACCCCGAACAATCCCCAAATGTATGGTCATTAATGCAAGATCACTTGTGAAAGTTGATGCTGCTTCTGCTTTGCATATGGAATTGCACTCAAACAACTGCGATATTTGCATCATCTCCGAGACATGGCTTAAACCAAATTTTCCATCTCATCTCGTTTGTCCGAAGGATTACTCAATTTTGCGAAAGGATAGAACTGACCGGTCAGGCGGTGGTGTTGCTATTGTCTGTAGGAGCGATTGGTTGTTGGAACGATTAGACAGCGTTTTTATAATGCCTTTGAATGTTTGTGGGCTAAAATTACAACTCCCAACTCAAGCTTTTATGTGGCTGCTGTTTATCATCCTCCAGATCCGCCATATTGTCCTGATGATTTATTGGAACATCTAACAAATAGTTGTGATCATTTATTGACTGGTAATCCTAACAGCAACCTTATAATTTGTGGTGACCTCAATCAGCTAGATTACAATGATTTTCTTACACAACTAAATTTATTCCAGATGGTAAATACACCGACAAGAAAGAACAAAATTTTGGATGTTTTGATTACTAACGTCCCACATTTTTGGAGGAAAGTATCGGTCACTCAAGGACTAGTTCGATCTGACCACTCTGTGGTCCTGGTATATCCCAGAATCCCACTTAAGGCTGAAAGGAAAACTGTGATGTTCAGAGATGTTCGTGATCATCATAAACTGGATATGGATAAACTGTTGAAGTTTCATAACTGGGACAATGTTTATTAATGCGGAGATGTGAATGGAAAACTTAATCTTTTTTGTACCAAGATTAAGACCATGTTTGATGAGTGTTTTCCGGGTATATCAGTACGTGTGTCTAATAGGGACCCTCCGTTCTTTTCTCCTCTAATCAAACATCTACTGGACCAACGGCGAAAATTGATTCGGCGAAGTAACATGTCAGGAAATTCTGTTTCGATTGAGATCCAAACTCTTCAAGAGAAAATCAACAAGTTGATCAGAGATAATCAAGTTCGAGCAGTTAAAGGGAATTTTGAGAAACATAGTGCAGGATCCAAATCTTGGTGGTCAACAGTCAATTCCCTGACAGGAAGGAAGTCTACCAACTCGCAAGTAAGCTCAATTATCTCCCCGAGCGAGATCAATAATTTTTTCTGTTCCATTAACACTGATCCCCTTTATAAACCCATTGACACTGTCACTATCCCGGAATCAAGCGAGATGCCTGTTTTAACGGTCTCCAGTGTTACCAGGAGTCTACTGAAATTAAAAAGAACTGCCTCTGGTCCAGATGGAATCCCGTACTGGTTTTGGAAAGAGTTTGCGTACGACCTCGCTCCTGTTGTTACCCATATTTTCAACTGTTCTTTGGAAAATCACATTGTGCCTGATCTTTGGAAATTGGCCGACATAACTCCCTTGCCTAAAGAGCCCAACTTTAAAAATTGCACACAGTTGCGGCCTATTTCGCTGACTAATGTAATAATGAGGGTTTTTGAACGTCTTGTATACAGACAAGAATTATCTCAATATATGAAGAACTTCATTAGCTTCGACCAGTTTGCATACCGCAAAGGCCACAATACGACAATGGCCTTAATTAAGTGTCAATATGCTTGGCTGAAATGGCTTGAGTCGGGTTTTGATTGTGTTAGAATCTTCTCTTTTGATTTCAGCAAAGCTTTTGATTCGGTCCCTCATGATATCCTCTGCTCTAAGTTGAAAACACTTGATATAAATCCATACGTGACCAATTGGATTATTAGTTTTTACAGAACAGGAAACAAAGAGTTGTTGTTGATGCCATTGTCACGGACTATGTAAATATCAATAGAGGTGTCCCTCAGGGGACAGTTTTAGGCCCTATACTATTTTCTATTATGGTCAATGATATTAAGGCCATTCTACCAAATCAGAATTTACTTGTGAAATATGCTGATGATTTAACATTAAGTATTCCAGTAAAATCGCTGGCTAATAACGGCAATTTAGCAGCTGAGGAGGTCCGATCGATCGTCGCATGGACATCTGCTAATCGTATGCAACTAAACTTCAAGAAAACGTGGGAGATGCTTCTTAGAGGCAAATCCAAATCCACTAAGGCCTTACCTGCTCCTCTGGTTTCTATAGAGCGTAAACCATGTCTGAAGTTGTTGGGTGTAACTTTTCAATCTGACCCGTGTAACTGGGACTTACATTTTGATAATATTATATCGAAAGCCAGTAGTCGTCTGTACATCTTACGTGTTTGTAAATTCTATGGACTGCCGCTGGATCATCTTCATCTTCTCTTTATCAGTCTTATTCTACCTATATTTACATATGCTGTAGAAGTATGGGGCTGCGCGTATTATCATAAGTATCTGAGTCGCATAGACAGGCTGTTCAAGAGAGCTTTTAAGCTTGGCTACTGTAAAGAGCTTTTTTCGATTGAAAATATTATCATTCTAAAAGATAAGAAGTTGTGGGCCAAGATCACCGACAGCGATTTTCCAACAGCTTTAGATGACCTTTTGCCACCAGAGCGAACAATGGATACGCTACGTAAGAGGCGCCATAAT